TTGGACGCTCACCGTATTCGCTAGGTTCTCCTGCATCTCTCAGACAAACGACGGTGACCCGCGCCCTCCTTTGTCCTGGTCTCCCATTGCTTCCCCTCTCCCGGCGCCTCGACCGAATGTGCGACCACAACACCCAACCTCTCACTAGACTCCATGTGGTCTTATAACAATTTCCTGGATAAAAGTGACCTCCAATTGTATAAGCGCAGCGGTGCCGCATTCCTCGAGTGCCAACAAGGTCTTCTCACCGGTTGTTTTTGAGGGAGGTCGTGTTGGGCGCGATTAGGGACTGAAATTGTCTCTCCTTTCCTTACATATTGACGGGTTTCATTTTCGTTTTGTGTACATCGCCTGTCGAAGGGGCTGTCTATAACCAAACGAGATGGAGCCCGATAATCCAAACACGTTCAAGCGGAGCTCGATGCACCAAGCGTTATACAGCCGTCCAGTGGAACGGCGTGCAAGCAAGAAGTCTTCATCTAGGGACCGACATGGTATGGTCTATCCCGACAGTTTCCGAGAAACTACCATTCGAACTGTGACACCAGAGTCGCACTCCCCCGCCAACCATTCCCCCTTGTCCGAACCGGAACACCTCACGGGCGCTTTGTCTTCACCTCGAAACACTGTGCGATCACGGCCCGCCGAACCTGAACGTCGTCGCGATTTCAACAAGTCCTCCGGAACAGGCGAAGAAGATCCTCCAGTGGAAGCAAGGAGTCAACGGGCACGATCGCGGACAACAGCAGCTGAGGAGCAACGAAACGACATCACCCCCAACGCTTTCAAAACTCGAACGCGGGTTGGGTCAATCAACACGGCTAGTCCATCCCAACCGAAGCTGCCTGAAGATCCGTCATCTTCCATCGGTTTTCCGTCAATTGAGTCCCCAAAATACAGCAGCCATACTGTGCCTCGCCCTCGACTGACTAGAGCTGTCGGTCTGGGTGCTGGTGGAGCCCAAAATAATCAAAGTTCATTCACCTCACCCCTCTCGAGTGCGGAAGCCACAAAGATCTTACAGTTAATGAAGACTACCTGTGGTAGAATGCACGGGATCCTATCCTTTCGAACAGCCTCAACCACTTCCTGGACATCCGGATACTGCGCTATTAACGTCGCTACTGGGAGTCTCATTTATCAAGCCAAGGGAGAACCGGCATTGGCCAAAACATTAATTCCAGATCTACGTGGTTGTCGAGTTCGGACATTGTGGGACTCTGAGCTCCAAGCCACCTATCTGAGCGTTCACACATTTACGTCTGGGCTTGGAATACAACTACGACCTCACGTGAACGAAACATTCGATTCCTGGCTCGCCGCTCTACTTTGTTGGCAACCAATTCGACCCAAGGGTGTCCAGAACAAGATGACAAAGCCTCAAGAGGTTGTGATTGGAGACCGGCGGATCCCCGAGCGTCGACGCAACTCAGAAAGCACAGTGCAAAAGGATGCAACTATCATCAAAGTTGGCAAGATGCTTCTATGGAACAAGCCGTCTGCTGCCGGCGCAATGCCGGCGTCCGGGCGCCGCGTGTCTACATACAGACAGTCAAGGGCCCTTTCTTCTTCGTGGCAGAAAGTGAGCTGCACACTGCAAGAAAATGGCTTTTTCAAGCTCTACACGGAGTCCGACGTGGCCCTCCTAGCATGTGTGCAGTTGTCTCAATTATCACGCTGCGCCATTCAGCAGCTGAATCCCTCGGTGTTGGATGATGAATTTTGCATTGCCATTTATCCTCAGTATACGGCACACCCAGTCCCCGATTCCAACGTCCGGCCTATATACATCGCTCTTGAAAGCCGTGTCCTCTTTGAGGTGTGGTTTGTGCTTCTCCGCGCATTCACAATCCCAGAGCTCTACGGTCCTGTGTCCCAGGGAGAGGATCCCAATAAAACACCAGAAGCCGAGGCCACCGAACCATCCTTGACCAAAGACATGTTCCGGATCGAACGATTCTTGAACTTGAAAATTGTGGAGGCGAAGCTATTTCGCGTCAAAGAGGAGGATACTCCCCGAAGTCGAAAGGCATCAAGATCACATGGCCAGCCTGTTATGACCTCGAAGGTCAGCGACTACTACACAGAGGTTATACTAGATGGGGAAATTCGTGGCAAGACTGCTGTCAAGTATCGCACCATGAATCCTTTTTGGAGAGAGGATTTCCTCTTCACCGATTTGCCGCCAGTGTTATCCCAAGCCTCTATCCTCGTCAAAACTCTCAACCCGACACAGAGGGACTGGACACTCGTCTCCCACGGAACATACCCAGCCAACCAAGACGTGAGTGCTGTGAACATGCTAGATGAGATCGAAATTTCTGCAAATGATATCATCTTCGGACGGGTAGACCTGCGACTTGAAGAATTGGATGCCGGCGTGGATATTGAAAAATGGTGGCCTATCCTGGATAACCAAGATCAGGCAATTGGCGAGATGTTCATGAAGGCCCGGATGGAGGAAACAGTAGTCTTGATGTCCGACGAGTACTCAGAGATGTCGGAACTTCTTCACTCCTTCACAAATGGCCTTACAATAAACATGGCACAACTTATGTCATCGGAACTAAATCATCTAGCTGAGATGCTTCTGAACATTTATCAGGTCTCGGGGTCAACGGTGGAATGGATCTCAGCCTTGGTTGAAGATGAAATCGATGGGGTTCACAAAGAATCCACCACCAACCGTCTGAGGTACACAACGAGGATTCATTCGAACAACTCACAGGAGACTAGCCAAGAGCGCGAGGTCCTTGTCAGAGACATGGGAAGGACGGCCACTGTGGAGGCTAACCTCCTGTTCCGGGGAAATTCGCTTCTAACCAAAGCCCTCGATCTTCACATGCGTCGTCTGGGCAAGCAGTATCTGGAGGAAACTATCGCGGAACGACTACGTGATATTGATGACAGCGACCCGGAATGTGAAGTCGATCCATCTCGAGTTCCACGCCACGAGGATCTTGAACGTAACTGGCGAAACCTCACAGCTCTCACCACAAGCGTGTGGAAATCCATTGCGGGATCTGCATCAAGGTGCCCCCCGGAACTGCGACGCATCTTTCGGCATGTTAGGGCATGTGCAGACGATCGCTATGGTGACTTTCTCCGGTCTGTGACATACAGTAGTGTTTCAGGTTTCCTGTTCCTGCGCTTCTTCTGCCCGGCTATTCTGAACCCGAAGCTCTTCGGGCTCTTGAAAGGTATGAACTACGCTCGTACCTTGGATTTTCTTTTGCTAACCACCTCCAGATCACCCTCGTCCTCGTGCACAGCGCACTTTGACACTCATTGCCAAAGCATTGCAGGGTCTGGCCAATATGACAACCTTCGGCAATAAGGAACCTTGGATGGAACCGATGAACAAATTTCTCGTCGCTCATCGCTCTGAATTCAAAGACTTCGTTGATTCAGTTTGTGCGATTCCCGCCGATCGACCAGTCCCTATCGTCACGCCCTCCTACACCACCCCTATTCAAATTCTTGGGCGGTTGCCGCCCACATCGCGTGAGGGATTCCCTAGTCTTCCATTCCTCATCGACTATGCTCGCTCCTTTGCAAACTTGATACGCGTCTGGCTTGATGTCTCCCCAGAACGACTGAACGAATTGACTGAGCTGGACGTCAACCTTTCTAAGTTCCAGAAGGAAGCCCTTCGCCTGCGGGCGCGCACTGAGGAGTGTCTCAGACGAGCCGAGCAAGCAGAGCGGCCAAGTGGAAACCTTGAGATTAAATGGGAAGCACTGGTGGATTCCATGGAGCGCGCCGTAACCTTTTACGACGAAAGCTCAAGCAAACCCGGCACCCCGGCGCCAGAAACGTCAGCTGGTACCACACCAGCCCCAAGTAACCATCGCAATTCGACTGGCTACTTTGGTACGCGTCCGCCAATCTCCCGGCGGTCCACTGACCACGCTCCCGATGCTGAGGATGACACGCCACCAAGCTCGTCATCGGCGACCTGGGACCAAAGCCGCATTCCGTTTGCCATTCCACGTTGGAATGACCCACGCGACAGCACTGGAAGCTCGAAGAACTCCTCAACATACTCGCTCGAGTACCCCGAGTCTTCCAAGGCGCGTAGGGCCAGCGTCACGAAAGAGTCCTCGAGCAAGTATCGCTTCTTCGACTTTGTCCCTGCTCCCTCCCGACGCAAGGCCAAGGAACGTGATCAGACTCAAAACCACTCGCACGAGGATCTACGCAATGAATCTTAATGCACCAATGTCTGCCCATGCATCTCTTTCCATACACGCTTTTCACTATGTTGTTCCCCGCCTACCTCTTTCCCATGTGCTCATGATTTCGACGTTCCTCTTTTCTCCCCTTCTCTCCCTCTACTCCCTTTCCAATCTGCCTATTCAAGTTCCGTTCTGCTTGATCATCTATATGTCTATGTTATCCTCTAAAGCATGTGTTATGGTGTTGATACCCATTCCTTCCTTTGATTGTGTGTTTCATGGTCCCGCCCTCCCTTATACACATCTCCCCCCAGCCCAGCTCTTAAAATAAAGCCCCAAAGAGAGCTAAAAAGTAAGGATCTGGATTTTTGGGAAGAAAAAAGAACATCTGGTTTTGATCTCGGCTGAGGCTCTTGTGTTTTTCTCTTTTTGGTCGTTCTGAGGAATCATTGGGCTCGTTTGTGTGTTTGGATTTCCTTTTGGAGGTGGCCATCGTGTAAATACCTTTTACTCTTCTTATATTCTTCCAATAGATGGAATGGATTGGTGTTTCCGTTTTTGAAATTCGTGACTCTGTTAGATAGCCTACAAACATCAAACGATATTCGTTGAATATCTCTGTACATTGGATCAAACCATTGAAACATCAAGTATGCCGCCTTTGGTCATAACAAGATCGCCGGGGATAAACAGAACTCTAGCCAACACCTCTGCAACACCCGGGCTTCGAAGGAAGGCCAAAACACATCAAAACAATTAGCAAGTAAGTTGTACAGCCACATGCTTGAAGAAACAGCACAAAGATGAGCCCAAGAGTTCATATTACTTCCATAAGCAGAGCTTGCCACTAGCGGTGCCACCAGCAACCCAGTTCTTGCTACGGTGGAACACAGCCACGGCAGGAACAGCAGTTATCCCATCACCGCCAAGCTGAGCAAGCTGGTCACCATTGCTGCTGTACACATCAACGAAGCGGTTCATGTTTCCGATACAGAACCGTTGGATGGGGGACTGGGGATTAAGCTGCCACTGAGGCCGGAGACTATAAGAAAGTTAAGCCTTGACACTTCGGCAAAACCTCAAGGGGCGCAAAATAAGGAAAGAAAGGAACAAACATACATTGTCACCCAGCGGCCAGTCTGGCAGTTGTGGCGGACGACAGTGTCCGGAGTGAACTCCTTTTCTGAAAGCTTGTGGCCTTGCTTCCAGGTAGAGAGTCCCTTTGCGCCCACGTCGTATAGCTTCAGCGTATCATCGTAAGAAGAAGTAGCAATCTGGCCAGCAGCGTTGAAAGCTGCGTGGGAAACCGAGAGACGGCTTTCATGTTCGGCAACGGGAGAGCGAGTGTCGTCCGAGAGCATGCGTAAATCCCATAATCTCAGAAATCGATCCAAACTTGCCGTGGCGAAGTAGTTGGGCTGGGAGGGACACAGTGTAAAGCCACCGATCTTCTTATCCGAAAGATCCCAGGTTGACACATTGCTATCTCTCCGCGGTGTTCGAGTGTCATATCGCCCGAATCCACCTTGGAGTGTAGTCCAGTACAGAGTGTTAGTGTCATCGGGAGCCATGTCTACTCCGGAAATTGCTTCGTCGATGTTGGTGGATTCAGGAGCATAGCTCTCTGAAGAGACCATCTTTTCCAAATCCAATGCTCGAATCGAGCTGTCGTAACTTGCCGTGTACAAATGTGTCGGTTTTGAGGGATTGATCATCATTGCGCTGATCGTTCGGGTGTGTGGCTTGAGTGTGGTGAGGATTGGATCGGGATCATCCTCATCTTCGTCGTCGTCCTCATTCGCCGCCGGCTTCTCTTGCGACGCATCCAGCATGCCCAGATGACCCATTTTGTCGCCCGCAAAAATGAGAGGTTTAGATTCAGATGGGTGAAAGGTCATGCTATAAACACGCTCCGGGGTGATCTTAATCCCTGCAATAATAATAATAAAATGTGTTAGTGTAGCTTTTCCATAGACAGTTAAGATTCTTACGTTGCGGATCCCATGAATCCCACAATTGAAGTCCACTCATCTCCTCCCGAAGGGCCTTCAGCTCCTTGTCTGCTGTCTTCTCGATATCGTCGTCCCCAAACGTCCTTTCATAGGGCATTGCAACACCCTTGGTGATGACATCAACTCCAATCAGGCTATCGGGACTGAGCTTCTGGCCCGAAACAAACATATCCGCCTGACTAAACGAGTCCGTCCGGCGCATTCTTTTCAGTCTATCCGCTTCGCGCATCGCCTCATACTCGTCGTCGGCCTTGCGCTTCGCTACTTCACTCTCAGCGGCAATGCCCTTGAGGCGTGAGGAGGTCCGCCGAGGCGTGATTTCTTCTTCGGTTTTTACCTTAGGCGCCGGGCGCTTTTTCGGTTTTGCAGCATTGCTGCTGGGAGTCTTAGGGCTTGCGAAGAGGCCCGAGGATTGCGATTCTAGCGTGAGTTTCTTCAATAGCGCATCACGTTCGGCAATGTTTGCCAAACGCTGCTTTTCAAATTCCGATATCTCGCTTTTTCCTGCCATATTGGTTTCTGGGCCTTCAGGCGGATCTTCGTATGCAGTTTGCGCCTCTGGGGTGCTAGGCACGTCGGGGAAACGCGACCCGTTACACGACATCATGTGACTTTGCGGAAAGTTGATCGCCGATTAGTCCGTGCTGTAAAAAAAAAGAAAGTAGTCTTCTTGTTGTTTCTCTTTTTTTTTTCGGAGTGAATTTCAAAGGATTGAAGAAATAAAAGGGAAGATTCAGATTTACTCCAGGTTGGACTTATTCTGAGAAGTGCATGAACAAGACTGCGCAAGTGCAGACCTAACACAGCAATGGCGACAAATATCAACCGGCTGTGCTTCCTCTCAAGAAGTAATTCTACGGCTCCTTTCCCATATCACACTAAAACACTTACGCCTACCTCATACGCGGCCCGAAAACAATTCAATCGTCGCTTTCCGCGCTCTTTTTCTACCCAGATCAACACCGAGGCCAATGATGCAACGGAGAACAAGCCACTAGCGGAGGATAACACAAGTCAGGATACTTCTGAAGAGTTAATTACCTCCAACTCGATGAGTGAGGTAGCTCCAAAGCCGCGACGAAGCTATCTGCAGAAAAAAGCAGCATCTGTCTCCGCGAGGCCTAGCCTCAGACCAACTTTGGTGAAGAAGACAACGAAAATAGCACCGAAGATCACAACCCAGGAGAAAATGGTATTCGGAGGGCTCTTGGAGCAACTTGGACTCAAATATGATGGGGAGACTACCGAGGCGAGCTCATTGAAACCAATGAGCGAAGAGAAGAAGGCTGAATTGGCCGAGCTAGCATCGGTGTTTGATAATCTCCTAAAAGACCCAAGGCAAAAGAAGGCGGATATAAAATCTAAGCAGCAAGCGAAGGACGACTATTCTTCTTACCGAAGACCAGAGAAGGCAGAAACGGAAGAAGAACAGGTCCCAGCGGAGAACCAAGGTCCAAAGCGGATCTATCTCCGTGATCTGGGCTATACCGAACCGGCCACAGCCAGTGCTGCCGAAGTAACCGTCAGCTTGCGGAGGGCGATTGAGATCGTCGTCAAAGCGGAATCAGAGCACATCGAATTCGCACTATACCAAGCCGTCGAGGATGGCAAGGGTGACATGGGGGTATGGGAAGTTTGCAAAGAGCGCATCTTCTCCATGCTGCGCCACCTGGACGAGAAATCTCTCGTGGAGGCTTCAGACCCGGAAAGTCTGAGCACAATAGACCAGCCCAAGCCATCCACTCGGTCATCAGGACCCCTCCGAGTCCCAGCCGTCGTCCCAGTCTCCCCCGTCGTGGTAGCTCTATACCCGAAGACCCTCCTGATCGCCTTCCGCCTGCTGAAGACTCACTTCCGTGACTCCCCGCTCATCCCCCAATTCCGCTCCACGATCAAAGAGTACGGCCGTGTCTCTACTTTCCTCGGTGCTTCATCTGGCTTGTACGATGAATTGATCCACTACCACTGGCGAGTATGCAAGGATCTTCCCACTGTGGTATCAATTTTGCGCGAAATGAACCAGCTGGGCATCAACCCAAGTAGCAAGTCCCGCGGCATGCTGACCGGACTTATCATTCGTCATGCCCGGGACTTGGAGGCTCACCGGAAATCCCCGAGCGAGAAGGATTTCTTCTGGGATTTGCCATCTAACAAGGAGGCCTTCGATGAGCTTACCCGTAAGGATGGGTGGATGGATCAGATCGAGGCGCGTTCAGAGGAAGAGGCGCGGCAACGTCAGACTAGTCGGGCTTTCCACCGCTAAGTTCTTGTGTTCTATTTGGACGGGTTGCTCTAATGTACAAAATCTGAACTATTATGTATAATATCATCAGCGAAGCCATATAAAGATTCATGTTAATACATCGTTGTCCGTTATTTGGGCCATCATATTCCAAGAGTAACGTATGTACACGAACAATTGTATCAAACCAAAACAAAGAACAAAGCGAAAATAATCCCCATCAGCTCTACAAATCCCTATGGATCCCCCAAAACCTTTCCGCATTGAAGGTGAAACTATTATCATCCTTCCACAAATCATCAAAAGCGGTAAAAAGCACCAAGTCCTCCCTCCGGTGATCAAAACTCCTCCTCAGACTCGCAATAGCCACCTGCTGATTCTCCGCCGAAGGGACAGCACCCCCATTCGCATCCCCAGCATGCGGCCACCCAGACTCCGTAATCATAGTACGCTTCCCACCAGCTCGAGCAGAGATACTACGCGCCTGCTCTAGTGCATACGCACCAGCACCAGCAGGTCGCTGAGTAGCATCGAAGAACGCATGGCAATTTGCAGCGCAGTAGTCAGAGACTCGGCACAGCTCCGGGTGGTCGAGCAGAACGGAGAAGGTATCGACTGTGACGACGGGGCCCATGTAGCCCTGTGCGCGAAGTACGGAGCGTGCTTTCTGGACGGCGACCACGACGTCGCTGGCGGAGTTGGTGCCGGCGTTTACGAGCTCATTGCCGATGGCGATCGTGTGGAAGATGGACCAGTCTTTTTTGCCGTCTGGGCCTGTTACGGCGTCGCCGAAGGCGCTGAGGCTCCCTGGGAAATCGGTTAGGTCATAGACGCCGGCGAAAACGCGCATGTTGTGCCGCCGCGCGGCGTTAATTACTATTCTTGTTTGGTCGCAGTCTGTGCCGTAGATGCGGACGAAGGAGTATTCGGAGATTTTGTCTAGGTCTTGGTTTACTTCTTCTTCGCCCTTGCATGTGCGGTCTGCTCTGTACGGGGAGTAGGATATGCCGAAATGGGCGTGCGGGTGCTGGGGAGGGCGATGATGAGAAACGGGCGGTTTGGGGTGGAGGTTAGGGGGCTTTGGACCCTTGTGCTTGTCTGTGTGTTGGTTTGGACGATCCTTCACGTCGTCGTTGTTCTTGAATACTTCAGGTGGCGGTGCTATACCGGAGCTATCCGTGTCCGGGATTGATATTGGAGGTTGCTTTGACGGGAGAGTTAGGGCCAGTTTTCGATGGGGGAACCAACTCCTCTTCACCGGGAACAGTTATATCTACTAACATTCTCTTGTAGTGCGGAGGTTAAGGCCTTGACGTAGTGTGTTTCTGTGCTGATGGGCTCTCCCTTTTCATTGACCCAGACGACTACCTCTTTGATAAAGGGCGATTGGGTGACATCTCCGCCGGATTGTTTCTCAACTACCGCTGATCAGCAATGTTCCATAAAAGCATGAGCTTAAAGCTTGAATGTTCTTACCTCGAGCTTCGGCGCAAACACCACATGCGAGTATTAGGCCAACAAGGGCTTGAGTAAGACGCTTCATTTCCTACCTGGGTCCTCCCTGGGGAAGCTGATCTATCCTCGAGTGAAATGATCTAAAGCTAGTCGGCGATCATAGCAAGAGTGGCTTCCAACCACCTAGAAAGGGAAATCCATGCATATGGTGCCGATCGGACCCATTATATCCATGCGAGTGGGCTCCAGCACGGAATCCCATACATGTGGGACTTGATTAGCAGAGCGTGTAAAAAGGATAGCCAAGCATAGCATCTCGATCTGGGGAGGACATGTGGAATGGAATCAGGGAGCTTCCAGGTTTCCAACATGCCTCCTAGCTTAGTTGCGACCTTTTCTGATTTGTTCGGTAAAGAGATTTGGCTACGGGGCACCTTACGAGATCTCGAAGTCTGATGAGAATGACCCCAATGATGGAGTAAATGGAATGCGGGGCCCATTCTCGGAGGTCGCTGGAGGCACATAGGTGAATGTGAGGCAGAATGCTGAGAAAATATCTGATATTATTGAGAGACATTGAAAGGGGGACGAAGGGGCAGTTTTAGGGCTGGGGTCTGGCCCTAAGATACGCTTCCCTTCTTCTGGCGAGTCTCAAAAGCAACGAAAGGTTGTCCTTTTTTTAATTCTCAATTTAGTTAGCATTGGACTGATATTTAGAAATTATGGCCGTAAATTCTACACTGGCAAAAAGGGAAAAGGGAAAAGGGAGAGAAGCGGAGCACGAAACAATACCGTTCATTCCATGGGACAAAGGGGTTCTCGGGTCTGTATAATGTATGCAAAAATAGACATATCCTTGAAGTAAAGAGCCAAGGTAAGAAGGATAGTATTAAACAACTTAAAACCATGTACAGGCAGAGAATCATACCGCCAACGAAGAGAGAAAATGGCGGACCTGTGCAAGGCATGCAATAAGAATGTATATCGACAAGGTAACAATACAAGGATCGAAGGGGCATTAGGGCGTAGGTTGACTGAAGAGAATGGAAAATCGATATATGCCGAAGTCATATGGGCGTGAGCAATTATCGGATATCTGGTCAGGACCAGAAGCTAAGAGGCAAGAGAAGGCATTACTTCCTCTTGCTCATCACCTTGGTAATGGCATGGCGAATAATTGTTCCTGCCTTTTCAATCTCTTTCTTGGTGAGACCGGTAGTGACGCACACCTTCAGGGCTGGCGGGACGACCTGCTTGGGCTCGAAGTTGTCCTCTAGGGTCTTCAGCCGTGTGATCAGAACGCCATTGGCGAGAGACTGCGAGAGCATTAGAAATAGACTTCAAGAGGGTTATAATGGAAGAAAATGTAAGACATACCTCATCCACGGCATCTTGGAGCAAGAACTGCTGGTCATTGGGTGTGAGCCGCTTAGCAGCCACAACCTCGGGCTTGATGACCAAGATGAGAATAGGGTTCTCAGGCGAGCTGGTGCAGTAAACCCAGTCACTACGGGGATCCAACTGAGCCCGCATGGCCTTGGTGAGTTCCCGAAGTTGTGATACTGTCTCAGGGTTGTTCTGAAGGATGTTGATGGTGGCACTCGCAGTAGTCGAGAGCAGAGCGGGAAGCGCAGCGGAGAATGTATAGGCAGCGGCTGAAATACGCTGGTGGTGAACAATCTCCTCCGAACCAGCACAGAAGCCACCACCAGCAACGAGAGGACCAGCCAGTGACCCCACAATCATATCAACCTCGGAAGCATCGACGTTTTGGTGCTCTGTGAGACCACGGCCAGTGCGTCCCAACACACCGAATGACCAGGTCTCATCAAGGATCAGACGGAACTTGTACTTAAGTCTGAGTTCGATCTGTAATATTTGTGAGCACGGAAAACTCATGGTTTAAGTTAATGGGTCACATACGATCTTGGGCAAGTCCGCCATGTCGCCATAAGACTCAAACAGACCCTCTGTGATAATAAATCTGCGAGTCAAAGGCTTGCGAGCTTGTTCCTTGGTGACCTTCGCAAGCACGCGCTCCAGATCCTCCATGTCATTATGCTCATACCATCGGACAATACTTCGAGAGATCTGAATACCCTTGCGAACTGCAAAGCTAACCCCCTTATCCGCGACGATAATGTCTCCACGCTTCGAGAAGGCAGGAATAACACTGGAAATCGTCGAGAAGGCCTGCGAGTAGATGATGCAAGCCGTGGTCCCCAGGAACGCCGCCACATCATCTTCTGTCTTCATGTGAACGTCCTGTGTGCCGTAGAACCCACGAGGTCCACAGGGGCCAACACCATAAGCGCGAAGTGTCTGGATCGCCTGTTCCTTGAGGGACTCATTCGTATTGAAGTTGTAAAAATTGAAGGAACCAAGATTCATAACAGTGCGGCCGTTGGCTAGTTTCGATTTTGGGCCTACGGGACTGCATATCCCAAATTCATATGTCAGTAAAATATCCGTGGAGTGGGCCAGGCAGAAGCAATAAGAACCAAGGGGTACGATACCCAAGAATCACGGTCCGTTTATCAACTTCCATCTCTTCTAAGGGTGTCGGGTTCCCAACGAGGGGTTCAGGGGTCCATTCATCCACGAGATCATCGATCTCATCTTCTGTAAGTGGTACGACGCCTGGTTTGGTCGAATACTTAGGCGCTAGCAGATATCGCACGGCGAAAAGGAAGAGGAAGAGTTCCACGGCAGAACGAATTGGGTCATCTTGATAGCTTGATTTCACATAGCGGAGGAAGATTGCGGAGCCAGGTACACGATGAAATAGATCCGCGAGTTCGTGCAGATATTCGGTAAGAATACGCTGGGTCTCCTGGAGATCCATGGCGGATGTTTGGAAAGAGCGCTTGTGTGTGGTGCACCAGGCCAGCAAGATACCCGGAATGCAATATGTCAAAACAGGTGCTGGTGGAGGATGGGGATGAAGATGAAACGGGAGGCTCGGAGTCCTGGGAAGCTCCGTGTCACGTGACATTGTTAGCCTCTACAATTACATGTACTTAGGGCAATCTAATCATGGTATGACGGATTACAAAGGAAGAGATTTTTCTCGAAAGCAATGCAATTTAATTCCGGTAGAAGTGTAAATAAAACAAGCAAAGAAAGCTGGAAAAACGAAGGTAAACCCCCGAGGATGACTTGGAAGACCCTTTCATACAAGCGTCATTCCACAAACAATATTTGAAGCAACCATTCATTAAGATCAAATTGTGCGCCGATGAGTTCAGAAAAATGCAGCGAATTTTGATAAGCGCATAACTTTGTACAAAGCATTTCCATGTCGTTTCGCCGCATTAGATGGACCACTTACCGGTACCCTCTGAGGGTGCCGGGATGCTGCCTGAGGAGTAGCCCTTGGGAATGTTAGAGCCGGTGTACCAGGAGACAGTATCATTGAGTCCGCGATCAAGTGGCTGGAGTAGGCCAATTGCGTCCTTCTTGGAGACACCGAGGCTATCCCAGAGGTCGCCCTTCAGAATGCTATCCAATTGCTTTGTGTTGCGCAGGACGACAGGCGCAGCGATAATGACAACGAAGATAAGTAGCATGACAAAGTAGAGAATGGCGAAGCGAACAACGCGTCTCTTGCGAAGCTTGGACTGCTTGAGAGAATAAATAGGGGGGCGAATTTGAGAGCTAGAAGCAGGTCTGATTAGTACTGAGGTATTTTGATACGGACGTGAAGAACAAAAACACATACCTTGGGCGAAGCCAAAACAGGATGACCGAATGGAAAGTGTCCACGTAGGGAATGGCGAGGACTGGGAGCATGGCAAACAGGAGAATATGGCCGAGGAAGAAATCGTTGGCGAAATAACCGAGTTCGGTGATCTTGCACAGGAATTCACGTCCGGGCTGAGAGAGGGAGTGCCAACCCATGTTGTACCATTTTCCGGTCCACCATGCAATGTTGGATTGATCGTTCTTGAATTCACGAGTCAATGCGAGAGAAATGATCACCTTGTAGATGAAGCGCTGGAGAGCCATAGCTGCGATCATTCCAGAGATGGTCCGGGCCCAGCTGAGGGATTCAAGGAAGAACATGGCCAGGAAAAGGAGCAGGAACACAATCACGGAGATGGCATGAGCAATAGCTGCGAGAACAGCACCGAACTTCTTGCAGCACATGCCAAACACTGGGCCCATACAGCAAGCCATGCCGAAGAACATACCTGCAACACCGGCGTTGACACCCACGGGAGCGAAAGCGACAATCGCAACGCGAAGGATGGGATTCGCAGCCCACTTGACATCATCAGAGTACATTGTGCGGGAGTTGATATAGAGGTATGGGATCAATGTTGCAGCAACGCCGAGTAGAGGCGAAATGATTTCGCTGAAGAAGATGTTGGTGAGGCGCGCTCTGGGAATGTCACCAGATCCTTTCTCCGATGGAACACCAAGGACTTTGCGCTTATAACCAGTGATGCGAGTACGCGCAAGACGACAGAAGCCGATCCAGGAGGAAGCATGGGATCGAGAGTTACCTCGAGAAAGCCAGCGGATGTAGTCGCGGTAATCAATGAAGAAGTCGTTCCAGGCAAACTGGTGTGGGTTGAATAGGAAAGGCGAGATGCAGAGGGCGAGCAGGGAAACCCAGAACCAGATCAAAGCGGGAGTCCAGACAGTTGTGGTACTGAACAACAGCATCAGCAGGAGACGAGCACCCAAGTAAATCGAGGGGCCAGCAAATCGCGAGTAGAGGACACCGAATGGAATACGGGCCGTTGCGAAACCACGACCGGTACCAATGTATCGCGCACCTCCGAAAGACAAGTTCTGGTGCACAGCATTGGCATAGATCTGACAGACGAACACCTCGAACATGAACGAGAATGAACCGAAGTGCTTGGCCAGACGGGTAGCCATGCGCCAGACTCCACGCTCCGTTAACTCTTGGACGGCGAGAGGAACGAAGGAGATGAAGAACACGATGAAAATAGAGATAACACAGCGGTTCACCCAGTTAAGAATCGGGATCAGATTGGCGCAAAGAGTGGGTACAAGAGGATCGGTGATAGGCAAGTCCGAGTTGTAACGGCACATGATGGTCTCATGCTTCAGGGCACCCAGGTTGATCAGGACGAACATAAACATTTGCACTGAAAGCATAATGAACATGTTGTTCAGATGGAAACCAGGGTGGGCATAGTAGAATGAGAGGAAGCGATCGAGAGGCAACTGAGTGCCGAGATAGTAGTACTCTCGGGACAGCATTTGTTCACCCATACCGGTACCAATCTTCGTGGTGAAGTTGAGAATGGATCCGAAACCGAGATCACGACCCTTACCACACTGGTAGTATTCGCAATGCTTGATGCGTCCACCACGAAGAATGGCATTCATACCAGCGTAAATATCCTCGTTCAGGTGCAGTCCTTTCTGGGCTTTGGAAACACCGCCACGGGTGGTCATAAAGGTGGCATTCAGGAAATCAGGGTGACCATAATGCAGTTTACCACCGATTTGAGCAAGTGTACGAGCAAAGAGGGTACCGAACGTTTGTTCCTTAGAGGCGGCAACATCACCGAGGACACCGACACTCTCAGAGAAAATGTATTCACGGGCTCCAAGGATGGCAACGGGGTTCTCCTCCGGGGAGGCAATTCCAGGGGTGTAAGGAGAAACATTGTCAGTGGTCAATTCCTCAAACTCGGCGAGGACACTGCGAATCTTCAAACATTCTTCAAGGTAGTTGTCTTGGTTAGCGTCAATCAGCTGGATGTATTCACCACGGTAGAAGATGATTGCATGGTTCTGGTTGTCGGACTTTCCGTCTCCGAGAATGGGGTTTCCAGACAGCTGAATTCTGAACTTGGGCTTGCGCAAGTTGTTCTCGAGAAGTTCACAGTGGCCATCGATCAAGGCCGAGTACAGACGGGGTTCTTCGCCTTCAGCGACAGGTGGCTCTTCATCCAAGTATGCAATCTGCAGGTCGGGATAAGCACGGAGCAAGAATTCGGTGTTTTCACGTTCATCCTTGCTGAACTTGGCGTAGCGCTGCATGGAGACACAGATGCGGAACTTGCGGCGAGCCATGCGCTCGAGCTCGCGCTCAAGCTTCTCAGAGTTGCCACCAAACATTTGGACAACCTCGGGATTCTCGACGCGGTAAAGAAGCTTAATAGCACGGCTATAGTTCATGAAACCCGACACCGTTCTGTACAAGGTCTGAGAGCGGAGAGAAGCCCAGATTCTTGTGCGGAGGGTATATTCGGGAGCGGCAGACTTGAAACCGATACAGTAAAAGGGAAGATCATCAACCTTGCTCTTCGCAGCATCTTTCTCGGGCTTTTCGTAATCACCGTTAAATTGCGACGTCTCATCGGCGAGAATCTTGGTGTCCTTGACGAAACAATCCCACTCGTGAGGGTGCAGTTGCTTGAGGTATTCGAGCAGGGTCACGCGGGAGTAAGGCTCATCTTCACGGATAATCTCACGGAGAGAGAGAAGGATCTTTTCACTGTAGTGGGGGATCAGGACGGTGAAGGTGGGCATGTTGTCAACGGGGAGAGGCTCGGGCATAGGCGTAGAGAGCGATTGCGCGAAGAACGAGATACGGCGCTCCGCCTCACTTCCCTGAGGGAAGAACTCAGTCTTGAACGATTGATCTTCCTGCGACACGAAGAAGGTCGGGGCACGAAGGGTGCGCTTGCCTTCCTGCTCGGAGGGAACTTGGTGGTACAACAGTTTCTGCACGTGGTCGATGGCCAGAAGGTGCTCACGGTACATGGAAATGATGATAGCATTCCAAACCTGGGAAATCAACACCTTAGGCTTGTATTTGATCTCCATGTCGGTCGTGGCGAGCACCTTAGAGTAGATACGCTTGGGAAGTCGGGAGAAGATGTTCCTCCATGGTGACCAAATTGACACACCCAAGTAGAACGACCGGGCAACAGAGAAGATTGTGTTGCAAATAATGTACCACAGGTAACTATCCAGGAAAAAGAGTGTCAAGTCCATGAAGGCCATCAGACCCAGCAGAATCTGAGGCTGTCGGTGGCAAAGGGTGTTACCAATGTATTTCGCGCCAGTACACTGATGGATCTGCATTGGGGACAGGATTCGGATGGGATCCTTGAAGGATAGCGTCAAGAAGAAGTAGGATTCCGCCAACTTGGCACCGAACACACAGACCCATAGGCCATATGACATCCACATATCGTTACCTGCAAGACGAGGGAAACTAGCTGTGAAGGTCTGACTGGCAACATACTGTCGTCCACCTTTCTTCATGTAGTTGCCGAACAGCGCACCCAACGGCTGGATTGCGAAGAAAGCAGCAGTAAGGACTGCAATAACAAAGTGGACAATACCGAGAGCGAGGCCAATGCCGTTCGTGGTCTTCTCCGGCATCTTCAGCCCGGGCAAGATGCTAAAGATCACGATGCCAGGCGCCAGGTTGATAATGAAGACAACGATGAGGAACATGAAGCGCTTTCGTAGATGCTGTGCTCCAGCCCAACGTCGGGGAACGTACATCCATTCACAAATGGTGGCTAGAATCTGGATGAAGGAGACAAGAGCACCACCGAAACCGATGGCAGCGAGATATTTGGGCGGCGGTGGCTTGTTGTCAAATTGCTGTTGGTAGTTGATAGTATACAAGGTCGGGGCGTTGTAAGCAGTGAAGAACCAGAAGGCACCCAGGTGAATAACCCAGATACGGTTGAAGTTGGTGATCATGTGGAACCAGGAGCGAGTTTCCTTGTAAGTCTTGAAGAAGGCCTTTTTCCAGACCACGTCCTTCAGCTTGGGCCATCTTTCGGAGATCGGGACATCGACCAGACGAGTCTTATCTTCAAATCCGATGCGCTCAATACCCTCCGGGTACCAGAACAGCTGGTTCATATCATCATATCCAATGATTTTGTTGTGATCATACTCACGGCGAACGTACTTGCCGTCCATGATTTCATAACCCTGATCCCGACAGTACTGGTACAGAGGAGTGATGATCTCATTCAGGTAAGTGAATTCCTCCACTGGCTCAACGCGAGCCTGACATTCAGCCGAAGTGTAGTAATCGTCGGCACACTTGAAGATAAAACAGATGCATTCCGGCAGGAATCGGACCTGGTTGGCTTCACCCCAGATCAGCAGATATAGGGCAATTTGACGGGCCCGATCGTGCTGGGACATGCGGTTCATGCGAGACTTCCACCGGTATTCTGCAGCTTCCAAACTGTTATCTCCTTCCAACGCCTCGAGCGTCTCCTCTTCGTTCTCGGGGTTCTTTTTGGCAGCCTTAGCCGCAGCCTTGCGGGCTTTTCGCGTCTTGCGATCCGCCTTGCCGAGCTTCATGTTGGCAAAACCAACAGCATCATCGAGATCGAGATGAGCGGCGAAATACCACCGGCGGTAATTCGCGTTGTGGCCACCAATATAGTCAGCGTGGATAGAGAGAAGTGCCTGGTTCGGCGTCATGCGCGAGGCACGAGAGTCCAACATAGTCATCATGTGGTCGTACATGTTTCGCATGCTGTCCCGCTGGAAGCCAAACTTGTTGACCAGATCAAGGAAGATATCCTCAAGCTCCTCTTTTGAGAGGGGGATCTGGGCGTCAGATGTCCAGGCGGGGTAAGGCTCACGCGAGCGCTGGCCAGCGGGAAGGGCATTTCCGTAGTCCATTCCGTAGACAGGAGTCGAAGCACCAGATGATCGGTTAGCTCCGTAGGAGATCTGGGAGGAAGGAGGACGGTAGCCACCACGACCGCCGTATTGGCTGTCTGAGTAGCTATTGTACCGTTCATCTCCACGGCCATAGTAATCCATGTCCGCAGCACGAGCAGTCTCGGACCTCATTGTGAAATCGCTAAAGGTCTCGGAATCCTCCTCGGAATCATGGCCACGACGGCCTCGGCCATATTCCCCTTGTCCCTGGTCGTAGTACTGGTCACCACCTGCACCGGCGCCGCCGTAGTACTGATCGTGGTGTCCGGCTTCGTAATATCCTCCGTCGGCGTATCCGTGGCCTCCATCGGCGTGGTGTGCACCATCCGCATGGGCTGCATTGGCGCCATGACCGTCTGCTCCGTAGTAGCCATTACTGTCGTTCCTGTCAGCTCTTCCATTTCTCGACCTTCTCTAGTCCGAAATGGTCATACCCTTGGTCATAATAGCCTCCGTCAGCGTATCCTTGGTTGTCATAATAACCCTGGGCATGTTCGTCCTGGTAGTAGGAGTCACCATGAGCTTGACCATGTGCCTGTCCCTGCTGGGGGCCATAGCCATCGTCATAGTGGCCTCCGCCTGCGTAGCCCGACATGACGAGCGTGTCGCGATCGATTTATTGCTCAGAACTCTGCAGGTGGGATTAGCACCAGATGTTCGGGATGATGCTAGACAGCCACAGGCCAATCTCACCTCAACCGTGACCATTCAAAATATTATTTGTTCGGGGATGTCGAATTAATGCAGCATGGACGTAGCAAGATGAAATGCGCAGGAAAGAAATGCGTTATCTTGAAAACCCAAGCGAAGGTGTGTCGAACGAGTCTCAGACTCCGTAACGAATGGCAAGTGAGGGTTTCCCTGTCTCACGAAAAGGAAGGTGCAATGGATGTTTCAAGAGCAAAGCAACCTCCCTCCTATCCTTCTTTCGTCAAAAAGAAAGAACACGAAAGGTAGCAAATAGAAGGAGTGATGAAGACAAAAAGCGAATGGAAGGGGGTTGGAGAGGGAAGGCAAGAAAATGCTTGTTATTTTTGGGATTCGGGGGGGTGGTGCTCTGTTGTCTCCAGAGTAATTTACCGTCATCTTACACTTAGAAAGGGTACGTGTCAGACTTCCAGGTACTAAATACCTCTTCTCAGTATGGTTGGCCCCTATATTTTTCAGGTACTGATTATCACCCCCTTTGTTTACCATACGTGGCGCATTAAGTTTAGTCCTCCCAGCCTTGGGTCCTTCATCTTTCCCTGATCGTCAATTTTAGAATTACCGTTATTGTCCGACTTGTATTTACTGTGTTTCCCCAAATCACTTTTCAACTTCGAAGGTTCTCCCACAATCTCCCATTTCTCCAATGACAGTCTTCTCTCGGACCGGAATCCAAGGGAGTCTCGACGGCCCCTGAAACTTGCCCCACCCGTGACCAGCCAACATGTAATCAGGTAACAAATAATGTGGCCCGGGAGTTCCAGAGATACCAATGAACTGTTCCAAAAATGGATTTTCTTGTTATGGTAACCTGGTATGTAGGGATAGCGCCCCCAGCACTGTTTTTCATTCCTCGTTACTAGGTATACCCATCTCAACTTGGCTATCATACTTCGAGGCTAAAACGTATGCTTATCTATTTGCTTGTCTCTAATATGTGACCAGTATCATTTATAAAATTATGATTTGAACCACATAATTTAGTTTCTAAATATGATTTGATGTTCAAATAAAATTAATATCAACAGCTTAGATGGTTGGTCATCTCGATTTCGGTTCCGTGGCTTTCAAGCGAGAACCACGTCTTTCCAAGGATACTTTCCACACTCTTTCCAATTATATTTTTTTATATTTTGAGATTTGATATAGGTATTGTTAATCTCCACGATCTTCAACCCTTATTGCTGCTTTCATCATAGTCTTGATCGATCACAGACTTTTTTTACTCTGTTCTAGTGTTTTAGCGTACGGCTGATTTGCCACCGCAATACAAGTGTCTCAAATTGTAGTCGATCAGTTCCATGTGTATTACATTTGACTTTCCACTGCTATTTTTTCAAGGCAAAATGTCCACGGGTGGCTGGTACACATTACACCGTAGTGGATTTGTATCGCACAGTGGACACCGGACCACGAGAAACTCTGGAAGCCATCCTTTCTACAACATACGGAGGTTGGCTTGGTCTTCAGCCACAAATTGAGCTCGCTAACGTTCCAAGGTTTGGAAACTCAATCGGCTTTGTCTATATTTATCTTTTTTATGTTTACACCTACTCCGTAATGGTTATCCAAATCTCAACTTCACACAATTATATATTTTTAATAGACATGATTAACTGTACCGTATCAGCACTGACTATTAAATGTGACTTGAATTGGGTATAGATGTATCTGAATACACCAGCTGATACTGTATATATGCATACAGAGCTAGTAACTTTGTCGAAAAGGATCTCCACCCATTAGACACAGGATTTTATCTTGTCAACACACTAAGTGGATCACCAATTGCTTTTTTCTTGATTCTTTCGAAGAGCCTCGACCGAGAGGCCTTCAACGTAGCGAAGCCACAACAGCGCAATTAAGTCAATGCTTAGCGGGTAATGCCGTGAAACCTTGTAGTGGTTACAACATGTACTTGCATTACGGACCTGGGGCATTATTAGTTTACAACAGAGTACTTGTACCTTGTACACTCCCATACAGTGCATGCAGGATTGCGCAGGAACGACACATCAGATGCATAAGAAAAACCGATCTTCGACATTCGATCTCTGTTTTACTGCCTATCCACCTTACAGTGTACAGAGTACGGAGTACGGAGTACTCCGTATGTTGTACTGGTGTCTTCATTATTGACAGTTACCCGCTAGCATATCAGGTTGGTAGCGATGGTATATTGTACGGAGTACAAAGTACTATGTAATGTAATCCAAAAATAACTTGACGGAGAAATTGGTCCAAAGGGGTTTAGTCAACGATCACTAGCTGAGAGGTGTGCCCTAGTGTCACGCATTTATTGTACTACGTATTGATCCGCCTTTCAATACTTACACGTACTGGCACAATCTTCAAATGTGGCTAAATATCAAACGGTCAGAATTATTTATGACAACTTACCCCCTTCTATTTTATTTTAAATGGCTTGCTTCCAGCTAGGGGGAGCCACTGGCGTCGATGGCCGCCATTAGCGCTTCTAGAACCCCATACAAGCTCTTCAATGATTATTTTTTGGCTCTAGCCCCTGAATAGGGCGTTGTACATCAAACGTTAGCACCGGGTTCTATGTATTCCGTACTCCGCCCTCTGTGCCCAGTCCGCTCTCGATTGATTATTAATGTGTCTAACAATCATATGCACAGAAGCAGATCCGGAGACCTTCGGCTCTGATTCAAATTAATTAGGGGGTAAGCTCGGCTCGGGATCATCTACCGTAATCGGGAGCCAATCATGACCCCTTGTTTTTGAGGTGTCCTGTATGGAGTACTGGGCACTAAAAGGGCTATATGTCGATAATTTTATTTCTGTTTGAAAAGGCTTGCCACATGATTTGTACAACATGGCTGGATCGGTACGTCCGTTGGCCAATTGAAGGCTACAACATATAAAACTGACATGTAAACAGAATAATATCTGGTAACCACTAGAAAGATATCACAACGCCGCTTATATAACTCACTATTCTTGTTTGTTAAAGAATCGCAATGATCCCCCTTATTGATCGGAGTACTCGCTCACGGTTTGCCAGTCCACTGGAGTTATTGTTGTACCATTTATCAGAAAGGAGGCCCATTAAACCTAGCCACAAGACCTGCGAATCCACCGAACCAGTCTCTAGCAAATCCAGCTTGATGAACAAATCACGTGTTAATAATTGCCTTCTCCAAAAGGCCTCTGGTAAATTCAATGCAAACACAGATGACATGTTTCGCATATCCTGCATATCGGATTGAGTATAGGCGATCGGGCAAATCATTTCCGCCACTAGAAGACATATTTCAAGTGGGGCCTGCTAAGATAGGAGCTTTTGCGTTTTCCCACCATTTCTTTAGCAAGTTGGATTGCACTTTGAACCTCAGGTACCAACCATGGATTGATATAAATATCACAGCCATGACCGTAGCTCTCGTATCTCGCGTACGCAATACCGTCGAGCTCGTGGGCTCGGGATAAAACATCAGGGTCAGAAGTACCTAATCCTTCGTGGATATTCCAATACTCCGTCGCGGCTCGAACCACTTGATCAGATGCCTCCTCAATCCACTCTTTCCCTATCAGATGGCCAAGGATCTCCCAGCAGTAAGAGTGAAACACATATACAGTATTTTTGCCCTTGAGGCCTCTTAACGGGCCTAGGATACCTTCCAAATCAAATTGGGTGAAGTGTGTATCGTCATACTGTGGATCCGCCTTTTGTCCAGATATTCGCGTGGTGTTTTTGTCACTTGGAAGATGGCATGGCTCACCACTGATACGTGCAATATAGCTAATCCCCGTGAGAGTGAGATCATATTTAGAGGCATATATAGGGGAAGAAGCAGGTTTGACAGCTTAATGGTTTTTTTTTTAGTTCCAAATTAGTATGCTTCTACCAATGTAGGTATGATTAGGAACGTCACTTACCCGCTCAATAATAGCGAGACGATAACCAAGGAAATTTGGAGAAATACATATTCTCTACTTCCATTGATGGCACTAGAATATGCTCGGGAATTGGGTCTTCATTACGATAGATTTCCCATTGAGCCTCCTCGAGCACATTCAGTGGATTATCGGTCATTGTTGCGCTGTACAAACAGAGAATGGTTGTACCACAAAGTAGACATACTTCTCGACCACTATAAGGCCCTCTGGGGTTTAAGCGTTGGATCGGCAGCATTTTGAAATGATAGGAACAAGCACAGTGGAGTAGAAGAATGGGAGGAAATAAGCGGGCATAGAGAGTAAACTGGATGACGAAGTGATAAGCGGTACTGTCAAATTTTGGAACTTGTGTGCCCTAAGCCAAGCAAAACTACCCTTTGAACTAAATTATATTTGATCAAGACAGGGGATCATATCATAGAGAGGGTTTATGTTCTCTATATCCTGTCATATCAATTTGTAGCTAAGCCCCTATAACATGGCCTTAACGCTAGGCGAGAAACAATTAACTCAAAATCCTATCTTTAGAGTAACAAGGATAGACGGCTGCATAAGCAACCTTGTGATGTCTTTTCAGTAGTTTTTTTCAGTAGTCTTCCCAGTGGTCTCTTTAGATATCTTTTCAGATATCATTATATTTCATAGATCAACGGCAAAAAATGGCTGAAAATGGCTTAATTCGCGCAAACGACTCTTCTATGTACTATAACCTTGATTGGTAACATCTCCACGTGTTATTCTAATAATAGTTACCCTCGATGGATAGTAAATAGCTATCACAAAAACAATGAAATGGTTCGCAGATAAAAAGATAACACTTATGAGGACCTAGGCGGCTAATAATACTAAGTTAGCTAGAAATATTTACTATAACACTACGCTATATAGATGATTAGTATCATAACTAGGGAGTCTATTATATATGACTATCTACCTAAGCTCTATGAGAGATAAGAGCTAGCAGGCTCAATGGTTGATATTATTAACGTGCTCGAATTCTTTAAGCGGCCAATCGGCCAGTCGTAGATTATACCCAGATCCGTAATTCACTCACAGATCAGATTCCAGATTCGTACCACAAGCAAAGCAGATAATCTCCGCTATTTGCTGGGAGGCAAGGGGGCGCTGATCTTCATCAGCATAGCGACGGAATGGCCTTGACCAACGTCACTCTCCTCTACCGGGTGTTGTTCCAACTTCTATACAAGCTAAGCGGTAAAACGTCAACGGTAGATTCTCCATTTGGGATCGACACGCTTCAAAAGTACATCCATTCCGAGTGACGCTGTACGGCTGCTTCGCCAGGAAAACGATATGCAGCAAGGAGGTCCGGTTGCGGTGCCTGAGATCCACAGGTCTATGCACCATCTTCATATTAGACACTCTCCGGACATTATGTGCTCTTTATCCCGGTTATGACAGGGCGTCATAGAGGCTTGTTTTTTTTTTCGATTCTTGTTTTTTTCTCTTCTTTCTCTCTTCCTAATGTCTACGCATACTTGCAAGGTATTCCGTCTATATCAAATCGCATCATTTACAGATTATGTATGGCTTCCTCAGTGCTATTGTTTGGTGCGCAGCTCTGGGTCTCGACCTAGAGTATAGGCGATACTTATAAGTTTGTTTTTGTGTTTATTTACTACTAATTATGTAGATTACATTAGAGGCTCGGTTCCAACCTTGGAAGCCCCCAGGCCCTGCAATAAATCCCTTGTTAGGTATATTGATTCGTAGTCTGAGTGTGTACAACCTTGGAAGGCATACATTCATACAGTATAGAATTCTATATAGAGTACGTTTATCTATTGCATGGTTGAGTTGTACCTGATGTCCCTAACCTCACAGCACTTACCACCTTTGGTGCCAACATATATAAGAGGTCAGCATATTCAAGTGTATTAGTAGTTTGCCTGGGTTTATTGTTTAGGTGGTTCTGTCAATGTGTTGGCGTCAATTATATATATCTCTGCTTGGGCCCGATATATTATTATATAACAATCCTATTTTTTTCCCTTTCCCATATGACACAATCTATTAATACGTACTTATCCCTTTTTTTTGAAAAAAAAAAATCAACCCCCCCCCCCGCACGTGTAAACAAATGTAGGTTGATATGACAAGGAATATCTTGGCAGCCCTGGAAGTCTGCGTGTTTGTCAACACAGGACCATTCTAAGGTTGGCCTGACGGTTCCACTGGGCTGCTGTAATATTTATTTTAGGCCTTGCACGAACGGCCTTTCACCAGGTTACACCTTGCAAGCCTACGATGGTGTTACATGTAGTTGAGCTGCAAGTTGAGCTGCACGTTGCCGTGCCAACGTGTCCGTTGACAGCTCAACAGCTGGGGCAACATGGGACCAACCTTAAAAGAACAACGAAAATCCCCGCCTCCAGCACCGAAGAGAGATCGTTCTCGCCAGCGACCACAGGGTCTTGTTGGCCGATTTAAACCCACGGCTGTGTATTGCTATTATAACAAACATCACGACCATGGCAAGAATCAACACAGCCAACCCCCTCGTCAAAAACATCCCACACAAAGAGACTGGCACACGTACCCTAGGGGCATCCCACAACAGTCCGCTGTCTAGAGAGTCATGTTTCAATTCAAGAAACACAGCCAAGCAGACCATGCCCACCAAGCCACCAAGCCAGTCGCAACGGCAAGCAAAGAGCTCAAGTGGATCATTTAATATATTCTCCGAATGCGATTCGGCATCGGAAAGTGAATTTGGACAACACAGGTCAACCGGAAAGCAGCAAAAACAAAGAACACTGGGCCTTGCACGTGTGAACTCGTTACTCCTACCAGCAAAGCGGAGACCACGTCCAGCCATCCGAAGGGAGACGGAAGATTATGACAAGGAGAACGACATGCCAGAATATACCACGGATGGATATCGAACTCCCGATCTAACACCAACAAGACCGAATGCCTCACAGGCTCCTACGAGAAGTAGGATGGATTATCTCGCCGCGACACAACCAGCGATTAGCCGCCAAGAAGAACAAGAGGAGCCAGAAGGCAGCTTTGAAGAAGAAGATAGCTCTGACTCACTAGACGGGTTTATTGTCAGTGACAATGATGAGCCTAGCTTCTTTGAGACATCGGATTCCGAGACAGCCAACACAGAAGATGAACCTAGCCCGGCTCCGTCGCCTGTCAGGTCACCAAGAAAAAGACTTCTGCGTGGAAGGAGACCAGTATCGGAAGCAGAATCAAACATCACTGCAGATGAAGAACCATCAATGGAAGTGACGAAGTTGGCGACAGAGCTGGACCGATCAATTGAGAAATCAAAGGCAGTCGCCTCAGCACCTGAAGACTGCGCATCAAATCTTGCAACCAGTTTCAATTCTACATCCCCTGTCCGTAGAGCAGAGATACCCAAGCCACAGGCTGATTCAAGCGGTCCTCTTCATTTCAACATCCACAACTCCCACAACCTCATCCAACACCTTGAGGATCTTCAGCTTGACAGCGACAGTGAGTCAATACCGCAAACATATCCAGAGCAATCCAAGTAAGTAACACATAGTGGGAATTTATGTGAACTATTGGCCTCTCAGCAATTATTCGTACTAACTACTCCTCGCAGCTCAGAACTGATGGATGAACTGCCATCGAAACTTTACCCAAGCCACACAAAACAACCACCATTGACACCGTCCCGCCCAAACTCTCACTTTTCTCTCAATCCCTCTATCACATCAGTTGACCCCTCGCCGGGTATGGGTATTCCCAGCACTACAAGGGCCCTGAAAAGGGCTGAGGCGGCGCGCAAACGCGAGATTCGAGCCCAAGTAGCCGAATTCAACCAAAAGAAAATCGGCTTTGCCGAAGAGTTCCTCCGGCATCTTGACAGTGCTTTCGACAGCCAAATTTCTAGCATGACCAAGGAAACCGGTGGCATTAAAATTATCTGGACAAAAAATTTCAGAAACACTGCCGGTCGGGCAACCGTACGTACAGATAGGTTCTCGAAAGGAGCAGCGGGCGTGGACGACACCGAGAAACAGCGTCATTATGCCACCATTGAGCTCTCAGAGAAAGTCCTGGATACCGAGGACAAGATCCTCAGCACTATGACACACGAGTACTGCCACCTCCTCGATATGATGATCACTAAAAACAGGGGTAAGGGCACGCAGCAGCACGGTGTCAGCTTCAAGCAATGGGGCGACCGATGTGTACGAGCACTGGAGGGCCATCCTATCTACGGGGGCCGAGTCAAGGTCACGACTAAACACTCCTATGAGATCAACCACAAATATATCTGGGCCTGCAAGGCCCAGGACTGCGATTTTAAGGTCGGGCGACACTCAAAAAGTGTTGACACAAAGCGTCAGTTCTGTGGCCGTTGCAGGGGCGGTCTAGAGCAAATCAAGCCGGTGCCGAGGGCTGCACCGAAGAGGCCTGTTGTAAAGGTGATGGCCGATGAGAAGGAGATTGTGGTTATTGATCCTTGATATCTAATGGACCGGCGACGATTGTAAATATTTGAATTGATCGGTGGGTTTATCAATGAGCCCAATCTAATGGACACGTGAATTTCTGGCCATGTCAGTTGAATTTCGGATCAGTTATATGTAATTGTAAATACTTGAGTATGACAATGTGTTTATCAATGAGTCCAATATAAACACATGAACGTCTATGTTGATTGACTTTTCTGAAATAGTTCCAAGTCTCCTAAAACACCGAGGCATATCGTACTACCCCCTACTTGGCACCAGACCTTTTCCGCACAGCTACCGATTTCATAACGAAAGCTTCAAATTAATACAGTTCAAACAGGAATGTAGCCAATGCCTTTGCATCTTCTGACTGAAGTGCCAAGGTAATACAAGGTTACTTCGGAGTGTCCAGTGTAGATATGAATTCCACGTTTCAGGTTATTCTATTTTACACTAACACATGGGCATAAGAAAACTTCATATTTCGCACATGATTATATTGAAAGACCTTAGTATCTTTCTAGTTCTAGCAAAAAGGGATAGCTCATATAAGTCTCATCTAAGCTTGGAAGTACTTTTGAGTTTTCCGATCATGAGACCAATGAATGACACGGAATGCAGACCAGATGCATATGTATATTTCTAGGCAAAGACGAAATACCATAGGCTTGGATAATTTATACAGAAGGCGGATGTATATGAAGATAAGGCTATACGAGGTATTCGAATAAGCGGTTGTCCAGATTTAGAACTACGACTGCCTCCAGGGCTCTTTTGGAGCTGTGCATTAGTATGTTGATAATCTTGCTTCGGGTACCACCCCATTCTATCAGTCCGGGGACCAGTTGTTTGATAGCGAAAAAAAAATGACTGAGCTTTCTCGTATCTGCAGCCAGTGATAGAGCAAAGTTCCATAATAGTGGACCCTCAATATAAAGAAGCGGCTGATCTAGCGAAGAACTTTAGCTATCGACAGTTAGGCATACAACTTTCAACCGAAGGATCGGCGTGGGGAACAGCAATTTCTTCTACTTGCAGCCCGCTTTATCCCGAGGTGCAGAAGGACAACTCAGCCCTTGCTTATTAGAATCTTGGTGCTTGCTTATGTGCCTTATATCTCCCTGTGGATACGTCTTTTAGCTTTCTATGCCCTAAAGATTCAAGTACTCAGAACAATGTCAATCTTCACAGACAAAACGGACAATTATCCGACTTTGAGTCGTCCCTTCGGGTCAATGAGATCAGAATATGATGTTGTTGTTGTAGGATCTGGCTATGGAGCTGGAGTAGCGGCAAGTCGAATGGCTCGCGCAGGGAAGAGTGTCGCCGTGCTAGAGCTTGGTTGGGAAAGAAGATGTACGGATTGAGAGCCTTCAGTTAAGAACACCGCTAACATTCTCGTAGCTGGTTCATTTCCACATACGTTTTCTCAGTGTCTAAGAGATGTGAGTATCTCGGGGAGTTCTGCAAAGAATTCCTTTATCTCAAAATGGATGTCGCCTGGGGACCCTACGCGGCTTTTTCAACTAGTTTTGGGAGATGGACAGCACTCTTTTGCTGCTCATGGTACGTGACACCTCATATATTTCCGTATGAATAGGAAAAATTCAACTTCTTTTGATTGGAATCATAGGACTTGGGGGAACTTCATTGATCAATGCTGGAGTCTTCCTGAAAGCGGACGAAAGAACACTGGAGATGAGCCCATGGCCCTCAGAGATCAGGAACGAGCCATCTATACTCGACGAATGTGAGTCAAATATGCATATGGCGAAGCACATTTCATAAATAACCAATGCAGACTATACACGCGCCGAAACAATGTTGCAACCTTCCACATATCCGGATAATTCAACCCCAACCAAACTCGAGCATCTCCAAAAAGAATCGAGATGGCTTGGAGAGAAAGAAAACTTTTATCGAGTACCATTGACCATATTTTTTCACAATGGTCGCAACAGTACCGGTGTCCCTATGTATGCAAGTAAAAAATCGGGCCATGAGTGTACTGGTCTCAATGATGGCTCAAAAAACTCGGTGGCGACAACATATCTTGCAGATGCATGGAATTGGGGAGCTGAGATATTTTGCGGATGTGAAGTTCAATTTGTAGAAAAGATGGACGGAGGAGGTTATACTATACACTTTGCCTGGCATGGAAGTGGAAGATCGGTGTTTGGGGATCAGTTCAAGGAACAACTCTTTTGGGTTAAAGCGGTAAGTAGTGAATACACCTGAGATATGGACATCTTGACTCACTCACTTCAATTATAGAAGGAATTTTGCTTCCTTGGGGCCGGTGCTTTAGGAACCACTGGAGTCTTGCTACGGTCAAAGCAGCATGGCCTCCATATGTCACCGCTCGTTGGAAGAAATCTCTCTGGGAATGGTGACCTTTTGATATTTGGTGCGTACTTCCCCAGGATACAAATCTGAATACATTTTATTTACAGATTCAAAGGTTACAATGGGGGTACCAATATCAACGGCATCGCCCATGAATCTTCACGTGCTCCACCCGGACCAACCGTCACTGCCGTTATAGATAACCGAGTCGTTGATCCTCTGAAAAATCCCCTGTCCGGATATGTTATCCAAGATGGCTGTATTCCCGAGATCTTCAACCCAATGATCCAAATAATGCTCACTCTGCAGACCATAAAAAGTCAGGTGCGGTGTTGTCTTTCGAATCCTCGCCAAGAAGCCAGAAAGACCATCGCATCTCTCAAGTCTCTCTTACTTGGCCCATATGCATATAATGGAGCTCTTCAGCGGACTTCAACTTATCTTGTGATGTCTCATGACAGCAACGAGGTAACGTTGACCTTGAAGGATAATCAATTGTGCTTGCGAGGACCAGCAGAAGGACGATCCGAGCATTTCAAATGGATAAAGAAGATGTTCGAGGAGCTTTTTGCTCGCACGGGAGCAATGATGGGGCTTTCGTACTTTTATGGTAAGTACCAATAAAAGCCACCAAAAAGCTACGCTAAATATAGCCAAAGCTCGCCACCAGGAGGAAATCACAGTTCATCTCCTTGGAGGAGCCAACATGAGCAATGATGGAACAGGGGGCTGTGGTGTAACAAATCACTTAGGAGAGGTCTTCAGTGGCCCTGATAGCCAAGTATACAAAGGTCTCGTGTGCTGTGATGCATCTATCATCCCGACAGCTCTAGGTGCGTGAAAAAGAAAGATTGTATGGCTTTGTTATGTACTAATTTTGACAGGCGTGAATCCACTGGCCACAATATCTGCCCTCTCTGAGCGATCCGTCAACCTACTCGCCGAGAGGTCTAGATTGTCAATTGATCTCAAGACTAAAAATCAGCCTTTGAATGCCTACAGCAAGCCTAGTGTATCATGGGATTATCAAGAGCATCAGGATCGTACCAAAGAAGCACCCCAGTCTATAGGATGGCAATTTACAGAAACTATGCATGGGTACATCAGCATGGGGTCAGATATCGAAAGCTTTGCGCTGTCTGAGAAGGTAGGAAAAGGTTCATCCTGTGCGATGCGGATGTTTCTTACAATCGAAATCTGCCGACGAGAAGGTAAGAAACTAGGAGAATCAGCTAGCAGCCAAATGCTCACATGTCTAGATTTACAATATCAAGGAATATGCACTGGGACGATTTCTTGCCACGCATTATCTAAATCCACGCTCAAGATTGTTGATGGGACGGTAGACTTTTTCACGCCAATAGAAGAGAATGCCGAATCATCAGCCATTTCATACAGACTAATGCTCCTCTCGGTAGAGGGCACACAGTACCGCCTGAAAGGCCACAAGCTCATCAACTCGAACATATCATTCTCTGCCAGAAAGACGTGGGCAGCGACGACTACCCTAAACGTCAATATCGCTCAACTGGACGGGACAAATATTGGAGCAGGTGCCCTTCATATCTCATTGCTAGACTTCAAAAAGCAGACGAGAACATTTCGAACGACAAGGGACTTCAATATTGGTCTTATCTTGACTCTGATGGGATTTCTAGTTTCTTTTATGTACCATATTAGTATCTTTTTCTTTCGCCCTTTCGTCCACCTTCGCTTCCCTCGGACACCAACCAAACCCGCCGGTTTGAAACAACTTCCTCGAAAACAGCCGCCTGCCACATCGTGCAACATCACCGCAATTGATGGCGTACAGACACATCTTGATATGTATGATCCAATCCCTGTACAAAAGACAGGCAAGCCGGAACACAACTCCAACCTTCCACCAGTCCTGCTTTTACCTGGAGTTACCGGGATCCGCGCGATGCACAATTTGTATTCACTGCCATTTTTGCGCTGCAACATGGTCGAGTATTTCACGCAGCGTGGACACCGATGTTACGCACTGACTCCTCGTTGGGGCTGTGATCCCGCTGTTGCTCAGAGAAGCACCGTCTTCGACTGCCGTCTTGATGTTGCTGCTGCGATAGCATACATCCGTGAGCAAGAACGACAAAAGCCGTATGTGATAGCCCATTGCCAAGGCTCTGTGGCTCTGTCCATGGGACTACTGGATGGGACCATCCTGAGTAGCCAACTTCTCGGTATTACCGCCAACTCAGTGTTCATGAACCAGGTCTTTGGGTATTGGAACTCCCTCAAAGGAAGAACGACTCTGCTGATCCAGTTATACGAATTATTGGCTGGGAATTACTTCCCAATTGTCAGCAATGCCAAGAGTGTGATTTTTCAACGACTACTCGACACCCTCCTTCGTTTCTATCCTGTTGGGCACGTGCGAGACGTCTGCACGTCTACAGCGTGCCGCCGGACATCTTTCGCTTTTGGGTTACTCTGGAACCACGAGAACCTTGACAAGGGTCTTCATGACAACGTTCACCAATTTTTCGCGGGGACCCATACAAAGCTTATGAAGCAAGTAGTTCGCATAGGAACTCGGGGAATATGCATGGATAATGATTCACGCCCTCTTCTGACAGCTGAGAATTTGCAACGGTTGCAAGGGTTACCGATTTTGTTTGTCTCGGGTACGGATAACCAAGTATTCAACCCCGAGACTACCCTCAAGGACTATGAGTTGTTGCGACGACGATTTGGTGAGAAACTTTATCGCCGATTTCTAGTCGACGGGTACGGGCATCTTGATCCTATCGTGGGAAAAAATGCGGCGGAGGATGTATATTGGAGGATATTTGGGCATTTGAGATGGTGCATCAAAGAGAAGGAAAATATGAAAGTGAAGACCAACGGAATATGAAAGATAATTGGAAGTTTGGAGGATAGGGCTACACCGCCGCGACTATGTAGAGATTAGGGGGTTTGTTGTCATAGGTCTTCCCTTACTACCTTCAGCCTATACATCTCTCATATACATCTTTCCGATATGGTTCAATTTTGCGAGGACTGTGGTCATCTTATTCCAATATCATCAGCAGAACAGATTCTGTGTGATCTATGTGGGAGATCTACGAAAAGTGAGCGATAGAGCAACCTTGCATGATTCCCTTGGTAACACTTTGAACTTTAGATACAATGCTTACAGATGTCCAAGTATCTTCATCGACCAATTTCCCTTCAAGGCTTCGGACCAAACTTCTTTCTAAAACCCAGGTTGTCTCACAAAAGGATCTTGGTGATGGTCCCATAACGGAGATGGAATGTCCTCAGTACTCGAATCGGAAAGCCACCTGGACTGAGGCGCAACTTTGAAGCGCTGATGAAGGAAGTACTATCTTTTATTGTTGCACAAAATGCAGACATAGGTATTCAAACTCCCTTCTTTATTGTCAACTCTTGCTAATTCGATTTTAGATAGCAAGAGAATAACTAGATCCATATCCCTAGCTTACCCCTTACGGCAATATATACCTCTTCTACAAAGTGGATTGATTAAACTACTCCACTAAAAATTCATCGACCAATAAAACAAGCAAATCTATACACATGTGGGACCCCAATCACTTGCAGTCGCTAGCCTTTTACATTTAAGAGAATAGACCCACAAGTTGTTTCTTGAATGAAAAAAAGAATTTGTCTAAAATCCTACCTTAAAGATGTCTCTCGTATATATCACCACAGAACCCTCAGACCGGATTCGCGTAGAAGAAACCATTCAGACACCCGATTGGATTCACCCACATTTAATCGAAAGCACCGACGCGATCAAAGGCCGCCAATTTCTCGTCTCCGGTCCCATCCCAAAAGGCGCCTGTCTCCTCGTGGATTCCCCCTACGCAGTCATCCCCGTCGTCGACGAACCCGCCCAAAACGACAATCTCATATGCAGCAATCCCGCATGTAATCGACCGGCTCCTTGCCACACCCGGACATCATGTCCGAATGCCTGTATCCCGGATGTGACATGGTGCGGTAGCATATGCCGTGACGCCGATAGTCTTCGACATGAATTTGAATGCGCCTGGCTCAAACGGTATGCTGGGACTATTCGGTCCAAACGGGGTGAATATGATTTCGGCATGCTGTGGGTGATTCTTCGGTTGCTTGCTGCGCGACATTGCCAATTGAATGAGCGGACGGTTGCCGAAAGCCATTGGAAGCATGGTTGGAGTGGGATTGAATCGCTCTGTGGCTCTGAGGATACTTGGCCTCATGACATGGTCCGATCTTGGTCTGCTCTTGTGAAGAAGTATCTTCGGAGCAGTTCTGCTCTGCCGCATGAGATGAGTGCAGATCGTGTTCTTCATCTCATTTGTCAGGAAGAGGCAAACTCATTTGGACTTTACCCACGAGAAACAGGTCATTTCCCCCTGCCGAACCCCCCTGTCGACAGAGGGGAGCAATTCGCTGCTGCTGTTTATCCAACTGCGGCAATCGCTAATCACTCATGTCTGCCAAATGTAAGTGGACATTTTCTTAAATTTGTGGAAGTAAGGCTAATTCACCATAAGATCATCCATAAAGCGGATGATAAAGGCCGTATGGTCTTTACCGCGTCCCGTGACATTTTTCCAGGCGAGGAATGCTGCATCTCGTACTTCGACCTGACACAATATACCGATCTTACTTCTCGTCGCGAGCATCTTCGAAAATCCTTCCGTTTCGTGTGTCAGTGTGAACGATGTGTTTCCGAAGAGTCCGGAAAAGAAACAGAATGGACTGCAATGCCAATGATGGATATATGAGAATCACTGACTATAAATGACTAGATATATAGAACCTTACTACATAGCACTATACCACAATACACGTTTTATGTACATATTGACTAATTAAAGCACATGATATTGCAATTCTGTTTATTTCTATCTACTTGTTTCAAAGCGCAAATGGCACTTCCCTATTCCAACCCAGCTATTACAGCTATATCCTTCCAATAAAACCCCAATCCCAATCCTAATCCCAATCCACACATGTATCATCCAAATCCATATGAACAAGCTTAAACGAAGAGACCCCAATCACAAATTTCCAATTTCCCAACCAAAGCCCCAATAGTCTCCTCAGCAACAACTTCTTCAAGAGACAAACCCCTAGGATCACCATTCTTGTCAAACTCCTCATGAGGTACATTGAAGAAGACCAACAAATCCGTCTCCTGCGCCTCAAGTCTAACAAGCAAGAAATGGCATGTCAATCTGGAAACCTGCGGCAAACCACTAGACTCGCCATTCATCTGCGAACCGAGCACCCCGGCATCGGCAACACCAGCAGCAGACCCTTCAGCAGATGCAGGGACGCGTCCAGCACCGCTACCACGCACCGGGGTAGTGAAGGAGACAACGCCGCGATACGCCTTGATAGCGGAAGCGGGGGTGGGTGAGGACGAAGCAAGCTGGACTTCTACGCGCGTAGGCGATTTGATCACCTGCATGGTGTCACCTTCATCACAGAGATCGTGCAGGTGGTACAGGGCTGCGGCTTGATCGACTGTTTCTGCGGTTGCGGGTGCTGCGCTGCCGCTGCCTGGGGCTGCGGTGGGTTGCTGGTGGTTGAGCGTGGCATAGGTGCTTAGAGCTTCGGCTTGTGGAACACGCTGGTTGATTTCAATGATTAAGTTGGAAAGGGTGGTTGGTGAGAGCCATAGCTCTTGGTGGTCGGGGACCTCGCGAAGGGTGCTGGGATTGGGTGTTAGTTAGGGGTCTTTTTTTTGATTGGGATATTCTGACATGGGATGAGGAATGGATTGAAGTAATAAAATGGGAATTTGATGCATAAGGGGATTGTGTACTAACCTTGAATCGATCCAGCCTTGTGGCACGACGCCTCGAATGGCTCCGCCAAAGAACTCTTGCTCTGTGAATTGAGGCATGATAAGTTGATATTTGCTGTAAGACGAAGGATTCTGATCTCTTTGTTTTTCTTCTTTTTGAAAGGAGGTTCAGTTGTGTAAAAGCGAATTTAAATTCAAAAATCTTCAAGCGGATTTTTTCTCCCGGTCCCTCTTTTGCTTGAAGTTCAACAATACCATAAAATTCAAGCAATACTGGAGAGTAGCACAGATTAACAGGGGACTATATAGTTCCAGAATAGAGAACTAGTTTAGGTAGACGTGTAGACGTGCATGAGGCAACAGTGCGGGCGGATGTTTTCCGCCCAATGACGTTTGGCGATTTGGCGGGGTGTTGACGAGTGTTGACTCAATATACGAAACTACATATTAATCGACTTTTATTTACGAGTCAAAAGAAGAAATTTGAGTCATAGCTAACATAGGTGTTTTCATTTCATTTAATATTGAAATGGTAAGGTAAGTCTTACCATTTACTCAAAGAGCTCCTCCAGGTACGGGTCCAGTTCAATTAGCTTGAACTGGTCTCCCCACCGAACCCGAAATTCCTTCTTTCGGTATGCGTAGCTAGTCCCCTGGGAAAAGCTGACAACCTCGACATTCCAGCCGCGTTGTAGCCCGCGCTCGACCATCTTCATAAAACCGCCGGAGAACTCGGCGGCTGCCGCATCACCCGTCGCCAAAACAATTGTGGCTGGGTGTGCCGTGTCCAAAATGCTCTCTAGGATCTTTAGGTGTAGAATTTCGTCTACACCCTGCTCAACCCATCGCTCCCCAGAGGCGGCGGCCGTTTCAGGACCGCTGAATGCTCCCTGGGAACCGGAGCCTGGATTCTTCCGCAACTTGTAGTTGCGGTGGGGTGAGGTGACCTTCACTTTGTGCACACGTCCGAGGATATTCGTTTCATAGCCGAGTGTCTCGGCTTCCTCGACGGAAGGGAGGCGATCCGAGCCGACCAAGACTCTCTTGGCGGCCTCGCGGCCGCGTTCCATGATCAGTGCAAGGTTGGCGAAGGACATGTGGATGCGGCGAATTCGGGTTGAGAGAGGGATATTCCGTGAGACTTTTACCGAATCGTGAAATCCGACGATGATCTGAGAGAAATTAGTCTGAGCAGGGTTGAGGAGAGGGGATATGGAAACATACATTTGACATGTCAACGAAGACATGAATAGGACGTGAGTCAATATCATCACTGGGATCTGAAGCCATTCCCACTTGAGACACAATCCTGGCATATGCAGGGAAGTGATCGAGGAGTCTGGTCATCAACATCGCTCTCCGCTCCGCGGCCGGTCCGTGCTGGGTAGACCACACATTAGTACCACCAGAAGCAAGTCCTTGGAACGCGGTCGCATTCAGTTTCCAGTCATTGTCATCAAATGAGGATGGTGGGGTATCCAAAGGGTAAGTCTTCGCTTCAGTCGTGTTGACTTGAGATGGGACGAATAGAATGGGCCTAGGTTTATGAGCAATGGGATGATCAAACACAATGCTTGCATCCGAGTCTAGTCCAGCACTTTCCTCGGATGCGGTTGGATTATTGTGCGTATCATGTCGGCAATATTTGCCGCGAGATCGAGTCTTGGATTCTGTGGGAGTATCACTTGGATCACCCACTCTAGATTTGACAATCGCCACCGGAGAAGTTGGAGCAAGAAATTCCGCATTGGCACTTGTTCTAGAAGGCTCATGGCCTGAGGTCCGCGTCAAGATAGTGAACGATCGACCCTCATAATTGATAGGAATACTTGTAACTTGGGTGTTTGGACGATAAGAAGAATGGGAGATACGGCAAGTGGCGGTATCCTTGAGGACTAAAGAGTTTGACTCATTGGTGTGCGAGGGGTCGGATGAAGCAGGGACGGATGTTTCAACGTCATACGGGCCAGGTAGGGAGACCTTTTTGGCGGAATTTTCTGCCGAGCTAGAGAGCACTTCTTCGAGGGATGGCTGAACCTTCTCCAGTTCAGACTCGGTGGTCTCTGGGGTCCTTAAAGTGGGTGAGCTCCCGTCAAACAGCTCCCAAAGAGAACCAAAGTCACCAAGCTTTGGGTTACTCCGCTGAGAGATAAGATCCATAAGCCTACCATTAGTGGTGCAATGGGGTTCATCCTTGGCTTGTTGTTCACCAAGCGAGGAGATTGTAGCTTTATTGTGGCGACTAGATCTCGCAGTGCAGCCATCAATGGGCGACCGCAGTAGGTCATGCACTGGAGTGAAGTCCCAATTTGAAAGACCAGGAGAATCAGATCCGGGCATTGATGACTAGATGAAATGGATGTAACAGATGTGTAACGGGTTCGTGTGTTGAAGTTTGGATGGTAGCAAATGGAAGAACAATGAATTCAAAGGTGTTGTCACCGAAATAACGATCAGGTCAATGATCACAGAGAATGAAAAAACAAAGCATGGAGAAGAACGAACCTTACCCACATAGTGAGTCAGAACGAAAGGATGAGGAATGAATGTAAACAAGTCGATGGATCACTACAGTTGATGCCCGAGCAGAGCGACGAAGGCGGTGAACTAATCTGCTGCTATTTACTGACCGCTTCTATTGTTTGATCCAAATTAGGCCTAGTTGATCGAGAGAGTGGGGTATATCATGTCACCTAATTCTAGGCTGGATATCTCCATGATGTCATCTCCGGATAACCTTGGAGAGAATGGAAAATGCCCAGGTGCAGAGCGCCATTGGGTTCCACAGTACGCAGTGAAAGGTTATTTGCAGCCCCCAGGAACCACATTGATTGGAGGAACACTTATTAAAAGAGGACATTGTGGCTAGTCCGGGGTCCCGGCTTGGAAATAGATCTGTATGCATATCGCCTGGCATTGTGAAGTAGGTCAATCACGACAGTAAACAATGATGTCATGCCTGCTATCTGTATGAGAGACAAACGAATATACAACATATATAAACTCCTTTCTTGGCCTCTCTAACCATTCTTCCTTCAACATCTACTTCAATCAACTACCCCGTTTACTTCAACTTTCAACCACCGAACTTCAATCTTCATCATGTCTGATACCGGTCGCAAGGATTTCACTACCAGTATGCCACAATTCTTTACCTGCCTGTCGAGATATTGAGACATCATCACTGACAACTTCTTCCTACAGAGGCCAAGGAGGAGCTCACTCCCGACTCCACCAAGTCCACCCAGGACAAGGTCAAGGAGACTGTCACCGACACCACTGACCGTGCGAGCCGCGGCTTGCAGACCGATGATAGTAAGGGTGCTGGACAGGAGGCCTTTGACAAGACCCAGCGTGCTAGTGACAACCACGGCCATGGCGGTGCCACCGGCTCCATGTAAGTTGCTCTCTTCTTTGATCGAAAGAGTTCCATTCTAATTATACCTCCAGTGGTGACAAGGTCAAGGGTGCTCTAGGACTCGGCGGCAACTAGGATGGTCTCCCTTCAGCGAGTGATCATTATTATGGTCATTCCATAACTTCACGGGCAGCCCTGCACCCAAGACTCATGAGTTCACGATACCAATTACGTTTTCTTTTTTTTTTTTAAAAAAAATAGCCAGAGAACTTCAATGTTGCTCTTTGAATCCATCATATTCTCAACTGCAAGAACATTTCATTATGTAGACCAAAGGTTGTTAGAAGGTAGCTGTACACAGCGTCCGTAATAAGAAGGCCAAGGTTAATGATCAAGCATCTGTTAAAGTGTCTTTAAATCTTGCAAGCACTTTTTACAGTCTTAGCTGCCCATAGCTGAGCTAAATGAATCGATTAGAAGAACATTCGATCACTAACATTAGTACCGTCCCCTATACTGCCATTGAGTCTCGCTGTCGCTTAAGCTGCCCAAGCTCACGCTCTAGCTCTTTATATTTTCCCCATGCCCCAGGGGTATCCTTGGGAAGATCATGGTACGCTCTCACGCGACCTTGCAGTGCCTTGACCATCTCCCGCATCCTGATAACGTTCTCCTCCTCTGCCACCAACTCCTCAATAGTCGGCCCTCGGGGCTGAACCTTTTCTAGCGATGCAATGCGATCTTGATACTCTCCGACCTTGATCGCAAGTGTCTTTGTGCCGCGTGTCCACTCCGATGTCAAGCTTTGTGTATCAGGAGGTATCTCATACGCCACATCGGTTTTCAATTCCTCAAGCTCCGCCTGTAATCGTGACAGCTCTCGTTGTAGATACTGATGTAATGTGTCGACCTTTGTAATTTGTTCTTGGGCCTCGAACTCCTCCACAGTAAGCTCCACAATCGACTGTCCCAGATCCCCGGGACTCGGATTCAAGGTATTGCCCAGAGCTGCGGCGGAGTCGGCGAGGTCCTCTAGATCGCGTCTTCCTGTGTCATCCAAACACATCTCGACTTCATCAAGGAGTTGATTCTTCTGTTGCTCGTGGGGATCTTTGCGTTCAAACTCTTCCCGTATTCTGTATGCCTGAACGGCCTCTTCACGCGCTCGCTGTTGTAGAGCAGCTTCTTCATCGGCAGCATCATTGGCAGCAGCTAGGGTCAGGAGGACGCGGAGTGTATATTCATTGCGCTCGAACTTGGGGACCGGTTTAGGCGCATATTGTCGATTGAGCCAGGAGTTCACGTACGCCCAATCTTTGGCTTGAATAGCAGCCTGACGGGCTTTAGCCGGCGAAACGAGTGGGCTATCCATGAGATCGGGTAAATACAATCCCAAAAATGAATGAATTGAGATAAATCGGGACGGGAAAATAAACAGACCTCCAGTGAATAATGTTTTAACGATAAGGTACGATACGGCAAAGGCGGTCGATGCGCCAAGTGCGCGGTTGTCCTCTACTTTCCCCCCGCCAACTCTCCGCTAGATTGCTCGAACAACAATGACCAGCTACTTTCCACCAAGTGGCAGCGCCAGTAATGGAGCCACTACACCCATCGTATCATCTCCGTTGTCCCCGCCAACGCAGCGCCCGACCGCGCTCACCAATCGGCTGACAACGGTCCTGTCGGCATCGTATGCGGACTCGGACATTCGGGATTCCCTCGAGACATTGAGCTTGAGGGGGATTCACAATACCGCGGAAACACGTCGGCAACTACGGCTGGATGTGCAAAAGGAAGTTGTCGATTGCAATGCGGAGATTGTCAAGGACTTTGGGAAAGTGGCAGAGGTGAGCCTCCTATTGCTCATTTGGAGATTGGGGTCCGGAAGTCTAACTCCTGAATGGCAATAACAGCAATTGAGACGGATCGGAACAGTGGTTTCAACACTCAACCAGACATGTGATGATATGCGCAAACGAATCAATCTCGCAAAGCAGGATACCACGCCGGTACTCGAGGAGGCCAGCGCCCTGATAGCACAGAAGAAAGAGACCGAGACCAAACAACAGCTGTTGGAAGCATTTTCGAAACATTTCCTAGTTCCAGAAGAGGATTTATCGGTCTTGACGTCGGCCGAGGAGCCTGTTGATGAGCGGTTCTTTGACGTGCTCGCTCGTGTGAAGCAAGTGCACCATGATTGCGAAGTCCTGCTCGGCGGCGAGAACCAGCGATTGGGCTTGGAGGTGATGGAATTGAGCACTCGGAACCTCAATCTAGCATACCAGAAACTATACCGATGGATTCAGAAAGAATTTAGGTCACTGAATCTAGAGGACCCTCGCATCAGCAGTTCGATCCGCCGCGCTCTACGGGTGCTGGCAGAGCGCCCGAGTCTATTCCACAACTGTCTGGATTTCTTTGCGGAGGCACGGGACTATGTGTTGTCCGATGCTTTCCACTACGCACTGACTGACGCTGTTTCCGGGGCCAATGGGCCCGGCGCTGGTGATCGTACTGTCAAACCGATTGAGTTCTCAGCGCATGACCCACTTCGGTACATTGGCGACATGCTTGCGTGGGTGCACTCGACAACTGTTTCAGAACGAGAGGCTCTCGAATCGTTGTTTGTCGATGACGGGGACGAACTCGCTCGGGGGATTCAGGCCGGCCTGAATAGCGAACCCTGGTCGCGCATCGATGAAGACCAGGAAGTTACCTTTGATGGCCAAAAGGCACTTAGTGACTTGGTCAACCGCGATCTTACTGGAGTGGCTCGATCATTGAAGCAAAGAATAGAGCTCGTCATCCAGAGCCATGATGACCCTGTTACTTGCTACAAGGTGGTTAACCTGTTATCTTTCTACCGCACAACCTTCACCAAACTAGTGGGCGCAAAATCGCACTTGGTGGACCTGATCCAGACCTTGGAAAAGTTCACTTTTGGCCACTTTGAGACTTTGATGCGCGACCAGATCAGCGTCCTAGCGGGCGACAATATTGCCCTGACACCACCAGACGACCTGTCACCCCCACAGTTCTTATTAGATGCATTGGAAGACCTGGAGCTACTCATGAAGACCTACGAGTCTTCCGTTGGACCAGAGGATTCATCTCTAGATGTGAACAACGAGAATCCGTTCACTTCTGTCCTTCGGGCAGCCTTCGATCCATTCTTGACGCTGGCGCGATCCTCATCCGATGAGCTCCAAACCGCCACAGCGCAGTCCATTTACCGCACCAATATTCTCCTGGCCGCCCACGCGGCTGTGTCACCATACCCCTTCGCCAGCTCCACGCACGTCCCTCCCATTTCTGCAGCCCTATCAACCCTACGTAGTGATCTTCTCGACACCCAACACCAATTTCTCCTCGAGACCTCTGGTCTCCAAACGCTCTTAGATGCCCTGGAACCTTTCTCCGACGCCTCTGAAGACAAAACCGAGAAGCCAGACCAGCAGAAACCACACCTAGCCGACCTGGCCAGCCTTCCAGCCTTCCAACCAGAGTCTTTGATTACATCCAGCCAACAACTCGATGACTTCCTTCCATCCGCGCTTATGGATGCAACCGATAACCTGAAGCGTGTACAAAGCCTTTCTCTTATTCAGAGCGTCACTGAGGATGCAGTTGAAGCATTCTGTCGTGATTTCGAGTTCGTCGAAGGCATGATCATTGCCGCCGACGAAGCGCGAGGAACTGTAACTGTGGCCACTGGAACCGGAGGCAGTATTAGTGGCCAGAGTGGTAAATCCGACACAGAAGTGAAGGATGGCGAAGAGGGTGAGAAATGGAGTCTGAGATCGTTATTCCCTCGGACAACAGGGGAGATCCGAGTGTTGCTGAGTTGATCAGTTAATTTATGTATACCCCACAACTCTAATTTTGGGGCGCTTTTAGCTTCGCGCTAGACCATATTAGCAGACATCTCTATCCGATATTTATTTATAGCATGAAAGAAGTAGAAAGTAGAAAGACCCGGAGATTTAGATTATAATTTAGTGCAGGTTGATATAAGCAGAGAAAGAAAAGAATCGATATTCAATTCCTATGATCATCCACAGACAAGGAGGATAGAAGGATAACCAAGAAGCAGTCAAATAGAGACAGAGCAGAACCAAAAAAAAAGTCCATGAGTAAATTCAAATCTACTCTATCCGCCTCGCTCACCAAATTCTTTAGCCCATTCTTCATATCTTCGAAGTCCATCGGGAGAAACACTAGGCCGAATAGAATACAAACTCGCCTCGAAATCCTGGAATATGATGGCACGGATCTGGTCCATGGGTGTGTGGAGAAGGGCCTCGCCCAGATTGCGCAGGGGACCCATGGCCGCATCTTTGGCGAGGGCTGTGATGTCTGAGCCGGAGAAGCCTGGGAAATGTCAGTAAGAAAGATCAACTACTTTTTCTTTTTTAGAAAAAGGATTACAGAGGATGGAGTAACATACCTTCTGTCACCTGTACTAGGACCTGGATATCAGCATCGCTTAGCTCATGGTGTTGGTGACTGAGAAGCTTGCGTATCTGTTGCTCGCGAACATGATGTTCCGGCAAGGGGATGTACTGGCGGCGGACGAAACGGCGACGTGCAGCCTCGTCAATATCCCAAGGCATATTGGTAGCAGCTAAGACGAGTACACGGCTAGCATCACCTTCCTTCTTCTCGCGGCTTGTTTGTTCGCGACCTGCAGCTGCGCGCTGGAGGTCAGACCATTGGACCAGGAATTCAGTCTTGGAGCGGCGAGAGGCTTCATGCTCTGAGCCAGATGATCGGGCAGAAAGGAGGGAGTCGATCTCGTCGACAAAGATGATGGATGGAGCGAGGGCTTTGGCGAGCCCGAAGAGGGCCCGTACGAGCTTCTCGCTTTCGCCGTGCCATTTGGAGGTCAGACTTGATGCGGAGATAGAGAAGAAGGTTGACTTTGATTCTGTGGCTACTGCTCGTGCGAGCATGGTTTTGCCTGTGCCTGGGGGACCGAAGAGGAGCATTCCACGAGCTGGTTCGCGGAGACCAGAGAAAAGGTCCGGACGGAGGAATGGGTAGACTACTGCTTCTTTGAGGGCCTTTTTGGCTCCTTCTAAGCCTGCTATGTCATCCCAGTGCACTTCGTCACCGCGCACTACGATGTCATTCAGGATTTGCTTTGCTGACTGGGGGTCCACGCCTCTAGGCAATTTTTCCATGATTTTCAAGATTTCACTGTCTTCTTCCTCATCTTCGTCCCCTGTCTCGCTTGCCGTGGTCCGCTGATCTGAAAACTCATGGTCACTTGACAGTGGCGTCTCTCGCTGTTGGACTTGTTGGACTGGTGGGGCTTTGCGCCGTATTGGACTATCGCTATTCCTTTGAGATATAGCCAGCCGATCGACACTGCGATGAAAATCGTCACCGCTAGCGGATGATGGAGAGCCGCGGGCCCTTTCTCCAATTTTGGGAGGTCTAGGTGCAGACTTTGTCCGCGGTGTATCATTGGAAGAATTTACTTCACGGTCAAGCCGAGGTGACAGAGTCCGAGAAGTGTTTGAAGTATTCTCGGACTTGGTGGCTTGTGTTGGATGGCTTGTCGGTTCTTGGGAAGACCGCAAGGCCACAGGCTTGGGTTTGATGGATGGTTTAGGTGATGCCGTAAAGTCAGCCGGATTAGGCATGGAGATTGTACGAGGAGGATGTTGTATTTTAGGGCTGTCAGGCGGGGGGCGAGGCCCCCGCGGTAGCGGAGAGGGCGACTGAGTAGACGGTTTTGGCGAGGACCTCTTTGGAGACGAACGGGGAGACTCTCTCAAATGGGCAGCAGGAATTTGGTCCCCTGCTAGGCGGTCTCGGGAACCGCGAATTCTCGGCTGCCGAGGCTCATTCCTAGAGCTAGATCTTGGTTCTAACTCTCGACGCAAACTGGGATCGTGGGCAGCGGCGCTTTGCCGGGACGACACCAGGGCCGCGTCGCTCACAGGCTTCTCGCCTGATGCAGAGCGATAGATGCTACCCCATGCTAGGCCTGCAGCCGTGGAGGCAGCAGGTCTCATATCCTTCTTTTTTGATGCATCCTTGACTTTCTTGCCCTTTTTCTTGGCGTCGCTGCTTCGCAGAGTTGTCAACATGGTTTTCCGCCGCTCGGGACTAGAGCCACGCGACTTCGTTCTACTCGAAGAGTTTGAGTTCACACGTAGTGTAGGTGTGCCAGCCGCTGACAGGGTCGCTGGACCAGGATCGTCATAGGCTGGCGAAGACTCATGGCTTTGTTTTGTCGGCAGCATAGGATGGCTGGGTATGGCAGCTGGTTTGGAAAGGTCGGTGTAGCCCACAGCAGGGATTGTCCCATCTCCGATCCAGCCAGGAGTATTGGAAGGCGATGGGGGCGGTATGTTGGGGACAGACTTGCCCTTGACGAGGGTGGCCTTCTCTTTACTGCCATTTGCCTCTGTCGAGTCTTTTCTGCTTGCTTGGAGAGCGCTCAGTAGATCGACCCGTTCTCGGCATTGAATCTCTAGCGCCCGGATGGAATCCTGCAGGGCCTTCTCTGTTTCAGATTTCGGGATATAGTTCGAAGGTACACGGCGGGCATTGTGATGGTAGATAGTCTCAAGAGCAGATCTCCAGGACCGCAATGCTTCCTCCTCATTGTTCTAATATAATGAGCCTCGGGGAACGGGTGTCTAGACTAGTAGACTTACTTGGCCCTCAAAGTATACGGCGGTGGAGCACGCGAGATAACACTCGTCGTACGTCTTCTGCAAGGAAGAGGCAGGCCGTGGGCGCATCATTGGGAATAATCAGGCCCGCCTGCATCCATTTCACGACAAGTTGGTGGAGTTGGTGAAGGCGATGATCTCCCGCAGTTGAGGGGGGGAGGATTTTTCGCGTGACGTCGTCGGTTCGGGGGGAGTTACTGCATGCGGCCAATGAACTATGCAAGGTTGTACTGGGGATTTTATACAAATTAAAATGGTTATCATCTCTAAAGTTCCTTCTATGGGTACATGTAAGATAAAAAAAACATAAGTTATGATGCCACAGAGAACCCAGCCCTCTCAAAACCAAAAACAAGAAAACCCGAAGTTTTTCCAACGCCGGTCACAGTATAGGACACATCGAATGGAGAGCATCGAAGAATCCACCCAAAAAAAGAAAAGCACCACATTTAATCTCCGAAGTCGAAAGTGGCCGTGTCCCCATTTTTCCAAAACTATACATTGCCGAAAACGCTTCTCATAAAAAGCCCTAAACATGCAAAGATCGAACCCTGGCCTCTGGCCCGAGATGCACCAGAGGGGTTGCTGGGCTCCGCCCAACCTCCCCATATCCAGAACATATTGTAAAAGAACAGACCCATGTCTCCCTAAGAGATCAAAGAAAGATTATATGGTGCCCACACAAACGTGGTATATCGAACAAGTAGCAGGTCCATCAGGGATGGTAGATAGGACCCACGGCAGCCGTGCAAGCGGACCAAGTCAGTGCTTTTAGTCGAGGTGCTTCTTGAAGTATGCCTTGGCCATCTCATAGGATGTCCTGGAAAATAGGTCAGTAAATATCTAAATATTGAGAGAACCGAGTCTCCGAATGGGACGTACCAGCAAATTGCAGTGCTAGGCATAGTGGAAATAATACGAGGACGCATGCCACGCAGGAAGCCAGACCAGCCAAACCGACGCTTGATGATGGCAGCGGCATTGAACAGACCCTTTGCAGACCGCACCTCCTCGCTCTCTGCGAGTCCACGGGTCTGGAGGAGTGTCTTTACAACGTCAAGGGGAGTAGTAAGACCAGCTGCGAAAGCACCAGCCAGACCACCTGCGATGCAGTGGGTGAATGGGTCATAATCACCCTTGGGGTTCATGACCTTCGAGATCGACTCGTAGGCAACGAATTGAGTGGCCGTGAAGGGCACAGTCATGCAAAGTGTGGTAGGGTAGGAGACGTAGAAGGCCTGGAGGCCTTCGGTGCGGTAGACGGTCTTGGCGCATTGGGCCAGGGTCTTGTGAACTGAGCCGTGAACTTGCATACGCTGCTTCATAACTGGAGAATGAGTTAGCTGGGCGTAATTCATTGCCTCGTACGGGGGCCACTTACCATCGAATGGGTTCATCAACGCATCGCTGGCAATTGTAGCAGCGGCTCCACTCATAGCTGCACGACAATCACGTCAGATGTTGCACAAAAAATCGATTCAAAAGTTTGTCCAAAAAAAACTTACCGGCAGCCAAGGGGTGATGGCCATCGTCAACATTACCACCAGCCATTTCCTTGACGATCTCATATGTACCGAAGTAAACAGCGTGTGCGGGACCTATCGCAAATCAGAATCGAGGGTCTTCGACTCATGACCATGATATACACACCTGCGCCGACAATCACACTCGAGACTCCCTTCCATAGTGTCCGCCAGCCCTCAACTCGATAAATCGTAGAGACCGCGTTGGTCAACCCCGTGTAGAGACCGCCAGCCGAAGGGGTCAGGATTTGCATGCGAGTCTAATGATGCCAGAATAATCAGCGCTCAATCCTTTTTCCTTTCAATTCCTTCGGCCAGAAATCAAGCTTACCTTGAGCAAGTCAACAGGGTACATCACTGAGTGTTCCTTTTATCCGATCAGCCAAAAATCCTCATACCCCTAACCATGTAAAACATACTGCTATCCCTGCGAAAGCACCAGCTAGCATATTCCGGCCAAGGCCATAGTTGGAAGGAAGGGCTTCATAGCTAGAAAAGGGTGTATTGCATTAGCTTAGGCCACACAATTCCCGTAAAGCGCCAGGGCGAACAAGAAAGTCGGGATGCTCAACAGGGACAATAAATAGCAGGAGTACATCATATCACTAAAATAATAAGATGTGCTTGTCCCTGTGCTCATTCCAGCTTCCAGTGTTCCCGATGGCCGATTGCCTGGGGAGAAAAAAAAAATTCCATCGGAGAGCGACATACTCGAAATCCTGCCCGGAGATTTGATCGGAAGCCGCCATGGAGCTTCCGCTAGCTCAAGGCGCAGCTGTAGTAGATGAAGAGTTCGGAGAGAGAGGGAGGTGGCGGAGATGGAGGAATGGAAAAGTGAAGATGAGATAAACAGGGATTGGGTTGTCCGTGGAGATCCCGAGGAACACAAGCACAATCAGCAAAGCAGAATGCCAGCAAAATGCGAAAGGAAAATATAAATGACCCCTTTTCCCTTTCCTTTTCTTTTTAAGGAATAATTAGAGAGGAAAGATTAGGGAACTTGGGGATTTTTGGACATAAAAGGAAAAGGCGCTAGGGAAATTATTCACGGACTCAGGTTGCATTATTCTCTTTGGGGATTTTTTTTTTTTTACATATTCTCATTCTATATAGGTTTCACTTACATATATACTGCCTTTCCAAATCTTCTTACTTCCCTTCTAGTCATAGACACTGTGTAAATATTCAGAATCATCCTCTTAGAAATGATCAATGTCAAAACATAACCTTGACAGCTCCAAAGTATCTCCGAGACTTCCGATGACGGAGTTTAGGGACTGATCTCAACACTTATTATGTAAAGTACCATACTGGTACCTTCATAGTGTAGTAACCACGGTAAAGGTACATAACTGGTACTGATTTTTTTATCAATCAGATAAGAAAGCCCCTTGACAAGCCCTTGTCCACATTTCGCCTAACTCATATGGAGTGGAGCTTCAGCTTCAATTTTATTTTCTATAAGTCCGGGAAAAGGAGTAATCGTTCCTAGGGGTCCTCTCTTTCTTTACGCTCTAGGAACATCCGGTGGTTCGGCTAGTTCATACTCCATATATTCTAGAATAACCTTATCCACCGATGTTTGGTTTAACTTAGTCTCTGGTCAAGTCCTAAGGACCGATATGTTCTTAAATAGACTGTGCTTCTATGGTGAATAAGATGGTCCTTCTTTCTTTTTCGATAGCTCTAGCGGGTTATCTCCATTCATATCAATGCTGCCGACATTCTGCCGTGGGATTCCCGAGGTGAAGCTTACAAGACCATTTAGTAGAAAATTAAAGCGATCCTCAACTAACATTCCCGATGGGAAATCAAAAGGATCATCCGGGTATACTCCCATCGGGATAATAAGATACCCTTTACTAGGTCTAACGGCTTCATAGGTCTAGAGTGTTATTAAAAGATCGAAATATATGTGTGCCGCGGAGTCTTAGTCGGCGAGTTAATTTCCCTAGTGAAACCTTCTTCATATAGTCTGTAAGAAAGGTCTATAATTCCTGCCGTGGGCATAGACACCCCACCACTACGGAGTACATGGTTGGTAGAACTACAGCTTTAGGATGAGTTTACTATCTTCCATACGCTAGTCTATATGAGGTTAGATATGCCAATACAGTATAGATCGAACGGTTACAGGCCTATACGGGGGGGGGGGGGTGTGGTTTTTAGTTACTCTAGTCGCGATACGTAGTTGTGGTGCGCGTGTATTGGGGGTTGGTGTAGTGCCTTTAGACTATCAGTGTATGTTTTATGTCTTAGAAATGCTTCTAGGGTTACCTAGCGATAAATAAACATACCGCACTTGTGTATGTGATCGTGTATTGGGTATATAACACATATCCATTATTACCTAGGTAACTTTGATGTTTCAACTAGGCATCGGAGACACCGGAAAAGCCGAGGCCCGAGTGGAAGCCGCGATACCCATCGGGTCTATGTCTCGGATTCTGGTAACCTGTCTGGAAAAATCTTATGTCCGACTCCAAAGTCCTAATACCACTAGTATAATCGAAGGGACGCGTTGAATGGGAGAATTTCACTGTTAGCTGCCTGTTATAACAGCTCGGACGATAATCATTTCTGTAAAAAACAAACCGCTGCGCCTGAACTCAAGACAATGAAAGAGAAAGCAGATTATGTGACGACAACACCAGAAGGAAAAGCCCTCATCAAATGAGGATACATGCAGGTGATTTGAGGTAATGCGAAGCGGGAAAAACGAAAACAAGCCCATTTCAGCCCTAGAGATGGATGCATAATGACAGTTGCTGATGCAGTCCCAGTACAAGGGCGAGGATCTCAAGGGCTCAAGGGGTCAATGGTGGAGAGAAAGGAGGAAAAAAGGTACACCGAAACTTGTTGCAAAGAAATAGACATCGTTCAGGTCGTCAAGATCCCCGTAGTCTATGGTGGGACAGATGGTTATGGTGGATTGTGATTTACCACTCAACGTTAAACGACCACTCCCCTAGAAAACACATGTTAGCAATGTAGCGAAACCACATCTGAGAATTCCATTTACCATTCTTCAAATTCTCAGCAGTATCGCTCAATAAAATCACCCGGCGCTTGTTACAATAAGCAGTCTTATCCAGGATATCGACTTTCAGTTCTGCCAACTCGGCAACTGGCTTCTCGAACATCTCACTGAGACTCTCAACGGCCATCTCCAGGTCCTTTTGATTATCCTCAAATATTTCAGTTAGGTTGTTGCGAGCAAGGTAGAATGCAAACGCGTAAGTCCACTTCAAGGTCTGGCGACACTGCTGCAGGGCCTGGGATGCGGTGTCTAAAAACTGCACCTCAATCCAGGACAGACCAGACTGCGACTGAAGGCTAGTCATCTTCTTTTCGGTCTTCAGGTACAAATCCTTGTCAAGCTTGGCAGATTGTTCATGGTTCGCATACCGATTATAATAATGCAGGTAGCGTTCCAAGGAGGAACGTGATTTGGCCTGAGCACTGCGAGCGTCTGCGCCTGACTTTTCTTCGTAACGGTTGCAATTATACCAGCTCGTGCCATGCTCGGACCAGAGACCCATGCACATCCAGCAGAACTCGTACTTGCACTTGCGACAAGTCATGTGGTTACAGCCGCCATTCTTCTCGATCGTGGAATTACACTTAGTACACTCTTTGGTGTTAGCCGAGATCCAGTTGGCCGTCTCGGAGTCATCTTCGCATTTCTGTAGCCACATCTTGACTAAGGTGCATGGAGCAGGCTGGTGGTCGTTAAGGGAACAACCGAAGCAGAACTCGTGCTTACAATAACACCGCACTGTTGGAACTATGCGACGGAGATCACGGTTCTTTACCCCGCAGTCAATGGCATATTGACAGTTTGGTGCCGGACACCATTTCAGGTTTTCTTTATCGTCAACGTAGGTCCGAGTTAGGAGTTCGCGATATCTGTAAGCATTCGTTAGCGGGCTCTTCCGCCTAGAGGCCTGCAAGATAAAACACATACCTTCCTTGAAGCTCCTTTGTCACAAGCAGATCTAGTGACTTGGAGTCCACGATGCGATTACAGCCATCGCCTGGACACTGGATTCGGGCAGCCTCGCCTTCCTCCTTAATTTTCTGGCCCAGGTAGTGCCGATAGCAGTCGATGCAATATCGGTGACCACAGCGCATGGCATACGTCTCAAGGTCATCACCATCCTCGCAGCAGATGTCACACATGAACCCCGGAATGATCTCTGTCTTTGCGGTCCCCTCAAAATTCGAACCAAGACCAGCCTCCTCCAGCGTTTGCTCCGGATGCTCCATATAAGACTCGATCAACTTTTCTTTGTTCCACCGGTTGAAGCGCAACAAGATCGCCACCGACTCAGGTGGCAGCCCAAGGATAGCGCAGACCTCGTTGACCTGGCCTAGCTGTTCATGATCGATATCCGGAGGGTCGAGAACCTTGTACTCGACTTCATATGGCTTCTTTTTATGTCTGATGAGGTCTTTATCGTCCGAAAACCCGGCGTCGAGATCATCGAAGTCTGCCCCCCACACAGCTTGTTAGTCACTAAAGACATACACGAAAGAAACGCAAAGATCCGATGGAAATGCACCTTCACCTAGGCTCTCATCGTCAGAGCCCTGGGTACCCAAGAAATCATCTTGGCTTGAAACGTCACTCATGAACTCATCGTCGGAGTCCATGCTGACGGTGGTGGGTGTGAAGGGCTTCTTCGAGGCGGAACTAACGGGACTTTCTCCCTCTCTGTTTTGGAAATAAGAGGCTTTCCGGTCGCCGTGGGCGGCTTTTGGCAGTGGCTCGTCCGCAATCGCCTCAGCCGCCTTTCTCTTTCGCGTTATAGGAGGCGTGGTGAATGTAGCGGCAAAAAATGCCGACAAGGGATGTTTTAAGTGGGAGGAGCCACACGTCACTGGGTAAAACTTGTGACGGGGAGTGGGGAAGCGTAAGATCTCCAAACCCCCGAAGGCGGCTTGTACCGGGCTTCGAAGGAATTCCAATTTGGGTATATTTGTAATTCTAATTCTATTTTATTTTTTAAAAAAAAATAAATAAAAAAAAGAGAAAAGAAAAACAAAATGGCATATGGTATCTCGGGCTCTTTCAGCTGGTTGACTCAGGCATGAATCATTTTAAAATTGGCGCTTCATTGGCCCCTCGTTTGCCTCTGTAGGCTTCCGTTGAGAATGTTAGGGTTCTGCCTATATCTGCCTATATCTGCCTATATCTGCCTATATCTGACTTTAATAACAAACATACTGGGATTCTATGCTGTAGACATTTTAAGCATTACAATAAAACATTGTATACATAGAAAGGAAATTTGAAAGACATATTTGGAATTTAATTGAAAACATTGGTATCTACTCATCATCACTCTCCTCCTCGGATTCTTCCTCGGATTCTTCCTCGCTACTCTCCTCCTCTGCCTCAGCAAGCCAATCAACAAATTGCTTGGTCTGGCTGCGAACAGTCCGCATCTCTTCAGTGTTACTAGAGCGTTCATCATTCCACCACTGGTCATAAGCCTCCTCCTCGATAAGATCAAGTTCATATAGAGACTTGGCAGTAAAGAGAAGGACAGTATCGCCCTTGTTACGATGAATCAGATCATGTTGGAGTGCGAGCAGTAGATCCACCTGGTCATTCTTCTGCTCCTTGTTGCGATCGAATAGAGTGCGCTCAACGACCTCCTTGTATGCCGTGAAAACCGAAAGAACAGCTTGACCGGCACCCTTGCCACCCTCCATGAGCTGCTGGATGTGCTTCATGAAAGATGTCACAATGGCGCGACGGACCTGGTTGTCCGAGGCGTTGGCGCTCATACGAAGTGTGACCAGCTCCAGCTGCACCACATCTGCTGCCACGCCTTCACGAAGACTGTCGAACAAGCTGACTGATGCGTCGTGGTGGAAGTTGTCTGAATCCTCGTCTGCAGAGAAACTGCTCCGCTCAGATCCTGCCCATGAGGTATTCGAGATCTCGGATGACAGTGTTGAGATGGAGGCGGAAGAGAGTGAGAGACTGGGCATGCGGTACACTGTAGATGGCATAAAGTTAGCAATCCGAACCAGAAGAGATACACTAGGAAACAACATACCAAGTCCCGACGAGGCTACGCTCACATCATCCTCATCATCTTCCTCTTCCTCGCCGTGAATGAACTCATAACCCTCGCCTCCTTCGCCAACAACTTCAGGATCGTTCTTGCCCACGCCGCCGTCGTTTCGAGTTTTCGTAATACGCTTCCCACCTTCCACCCAGATGTTATCTGCGATTTTTACGCCATAGGAGAGAAGCGCTCCTGCTGCAATTGTACAATGCTTGCCGAGGACCACGCCGTCAGCAATGATCGCCCCACGGACGTCTGTGTTGTCACCGATCACAACGTCATCCCAAATATAGGCACCATCCAGCTTGACGTTGCGGCCAATTTTACAGTTTCGACCGAGCACGGAGTTGTGGACTTCTGCCCGGTCTCCAATGCTAGTGCCTTTTCCGATGACTGTGCGGCGCCCAATGACACAAGAGCGTGCCAGGGTTACCCCGGTTTCTTGGTACATGCTACCCTTACGAAGGGTATACGTGTGACCAGGGAGCAAGTTCGTATCCGGGCACAAAGGATATGTCCAACGCGAGAGTATGTCCTTGCTTATCGCGTCGTAAGCCTTCAGATTCCGCACGCGCGCAGCGTAGTGGTCCTTGATGATGTATGTGTGTATTGTCTTGCCGTTCAGTTCGTAGTCCTTCAAAACACCGAACAAGTAGTGCTTTCGCGGTGATTGGTAATCGAAGCTGTCCGACCATAAACTCAGCACGTCCGGGGTGCAGATATCGATGCTGCAGTCGATCAGGTCTTGGCGGATATCCAGTTCGGGGTTTTTGAGAATAATTTCGGCGTCAATATTGAGACGAGACAATTGCTCCTCGTCCGGATGGCGATCGATTTCCTCGTAGTGGAGACATCGGTCCTTTGTAGGGTCAATGACAAAAATCGGCGAAATTGATGTGGACTTGGTCCTGTGCTGCAGGCCAGCCTCCCTGAGAACCATGGTCATGATCGCATTCTTGTCAAGTGCTCGGCGGGCTCGATGTTGAGCTAATGCGCCCTCGATGGGTAGGTTGCTTATGACGTCGCCGCTCACGACGATAAAGTCTCCAGTAATGAGGTGCTTGCCATCCAAGTCGCGCATAACGTCACCGACAGAGGTAGAAGTCGACTTAAGGAAGGTCAACTGCTTGAATGGAGAAGACAGAGCTCTCCATTTCGACGCACTAGCAATATAGGTTAGCTCTGCCATTAGTATTAGAAGGAGTCCCTAGGGCAAGCGTACTTGAGATATTTCTCCAGCTGATCCGAGTGCGCTCCACCGTAGAGGAAGACCTCCTCCACGCCTGCATTGGCCAGAAATTCGAGAGTATATTCGATCAAGGGGGTATTTGCGAGTGGCAAAAGGCACTGTAAGCATTTGATTTGTTAATTGTGAGGTCTTGGGAGATGAATGCTTTGCTGAAGAGAACTTACACGAGGCTTGTCGCGGGTGAACGGCTCGAATCTCGTCTCGAAGGTATCTGCGAGGACCTAAGCAAACCCACAAGTCAGTAAATTGTACAACACATAGAGAGGACTTTAACAAGAACAATCACGCAAACCATCTGTCAACTGCTAGACTTACCACAGCCTGAAATGTCTCTTCCACTTCCTCAGCCGAATTTGGCTTCGGCTTTTGCCCAGCTTTCTGCTTGGGAGCCATTGCTGCAAGGATTGTCAACAACGAGTTCTTTATCAATCTAGAGGATCGCAAGAACTTGTTCTCGTGAAGAACTTGTGGGAAAGCGGCAAGGCGGCTTTACGTTCAATGGATCAACGACCCTTTGGACACAAAGTTGGCGAAATGAGACTGAGAGGCGTCAGAACCGGTCTTTAGAAACTGCCTCCAGAAATAGCATTAAAGAAACGCGACAATCTTGTTATCAAAGAAGAGACAAAAAAAGCATCGGAGTCATCCCGCCCACTTGTTTGCCTCGTTTGCAGACTACTCCGATCAAATTTTATTGCCTGAGGCAGATAGTCCTAAATAGGTTTAGTCTACACCCTGTAGATCACTCTTCATGGAATGTAATTTGAACAAATAACCGGCCGATTTTACTATCCATGCATTGATCATGTTAGGTATTGTGTGGAAAACACAGTGGAATAGTGATAGTCTCATAGCTAAGCCAAAACGGAGACTACGGTACTTGTCGTTACACAAATTAGCAACCAAGCCTGATGTACCAATCCCTTACTTTTTAGTCTTTGTGATTCTTCTACGTGTGAGAGGATCTTCATGCAGAAATGACATTGACGGAGGAGGTATCAAATAAATCAAAAATAACCGAAACTAAATGCCAACCCGGGTCCGAAATATGCCAATATACCAACATTGGACGTTAGGCATCATAACGAAGCATGTGCCTATACAGGACAACTCCATATGGCGAACTGCATCAGGTAAGATTAAACAGTTGATTCAACTGTCTGCAGTGGAACATAGCCCTCATCTCCCCGAACAGCCGCCATAGGTCCTTTGCCAGTGATAAGAGACCAAAGTGAAGAGACAACATTCTTAACACGACGACGCAAAGAGCGAGGGGTATCCTCGAAGATAGCCGTAGAAGCCCACCAGCTCACTTTACGGACATGACGGCGACGCGCCATGCCAGCCGCAGAGATTGAACCTGAGCGAAGCTCCTTCTCGAGATGCTCAACATCCATCCAAGACGGGCGACGCCAGAGCTTCAATAGCAGACTGCTAACAACAACAGAGACACTGGAAAGAGCCATGGCAGCACCGGCAGCCATGGGAGGTAGCATGAAGCCTGTGAAGGGGAGGAAAAGGCCCATGGCGAATGGAAGGCCAACGATATTATATATGCAAGCCCATATTAAGTTCATCTTGATGCGTTTGAAGACGGTACGCGAGAGGGATAGACTGGCTGGTACAGAGAGTAGATCGTCCGGGCGCATGAGGACAATATCAGCAGCCTCGACGGCTACGTCTGTGCCTGATGCAAGGGCGATTCCGACAGATGCCGTAGCCAGCGCGGGAGAGTCGTTGATGCCGTCGCCGACCATGGCGACACGCTCGCCTTCTGCTTGGAGGGCGGAGACGATTGAGCGTTTCTCGGATGGGGAGACGGAGGCGTGGATTGAAGCGGTTGGAATGCCGACTGCTGTAGCGATTCCCATCGCTGTTGAGAGCGTATCGCCTGTTACCATGGAGGTTGAGATGCCCATGCGATGCAGGGCCGCAACTGCCGCCACGGCTGTCTCTTTCACTGTATCTCGGAGGGAGATGGTTCCGGCGTAGCGGCTGTCGATGGCGATGTGGATGTGTGTAATGCCGGACGCAGTGTCACTAGGCTTGGAGACATCAGCTTCCGGATCTTCTACGGGTTCCGCAGAATCTGGATCTGCATCAGTGGGTACAGGGACGTCCTTAGACCGGAGAAAGTTGGCGTTGCCAAGGAGGACATTGTGCCGGATACGCTGGCCGCTAGATGTAGGTTCGACCACGGCAGAGACACCCTTGCCAACACAGTTGTCAACGTCACCCACACTCCCTGGCAACCCATCTTCTCCAGGATGACCTGATTCGGTTATGGCCGCGGAGTAGATCGCTCGTCCGATTGGGTGTTCACTACCTGTCTCTGCGAGACCGACAATAAGCCACCAGAGCTGACGGCGCCAGTCGTTCATTGTCCATTGAGGTTCAATTCGGGTGTGAGCCACGCTCATTCTGCCTGTAGTCAGAGTTCCCGTCTTATCGAAGACAACATGAGTAACTTTGGTGGCAGCTTCTAGCACAGCACCTCCCTTGACGAGGATGCCATGCTCCGCCCCGACGCCGGTACCAACCATGACCGCGGTCGGGGTACTAAGGCCTAAAGCACAGGGGCACGCAAAGACAACGACCGATATGCACAGCTTCAAGCAAACCATGACCCGGCCACCATTGCCTGCCATTTCAAAGATTGTCGGCGGATGAGGCAGCACATGACTGAGGAACATCCAGCCAAAAAATGTGATCAAACCAAGACCAACGATGGCGGGGACAAAGTAACCGGCGACGATATCAGCCATGCGCTGAATCGGAGCACGGCTCGTCTGCGCGTCCTGTACCAACTTTACAATCTGGCTTAGCTGGGTATCCTTGCCAGCTCGAATGACTTTGAAATCAATGGAGTTCGTGCCGTTCACAGTTCCGGCAACGATCTGACTGCCTTTCTTTTTGTGAATAGGTAGCGCCTCTCCACTGAGCATACTCTCGTCTACATAACTTTCACCCCGGATGACCACACCGTCCGCAGATACCTTATCTCCGGGATGGAGGATAACAACATCACCGACTTGAATTAGCTCGGTGGGAATGGACTTGTGATTCACCGTCATGTCATCAGCCAACGTAGGTTGCTCAGGTGCACCAGGTGTAGCTTTGGAGGTCCAGCGCTCGGCCAGTTTCTCTACCGCAATAGGATCTTCATAGATAGTCGTCATAGAAGGAGTCAGACACATGAGCCTAGAAAGAGCAGCGGAAGTTTGACCCTTGGCTCGATTCTCTAGCCATCGTCCTAAAGTGATGAAGGTGATAAGCATCGTACTTGTGTCAAATACGGTGCTAGGACGCCCGTGCTCCACGCTGCAAAGAGCCACAATCATGGTGAAACAGCTGTAAAAGAAGGCAGCAGACGTGCCTAGCATCACTAGAACGTCCATGGTTGGGGACCGATGCTTGAGGGACTTGAAGCTGGAAACATAAAATCGTTTGCCAATGCCGAATTGCACCGGGATGGTAAGAGCGAGACAGAGCAGATCTCCGAGATATAGGCCCGGGAACACTCGAATACTGCCGAAGTCAATTCCGGGCAAATACATCGGAATAATCATGCTGATAAGGAAGACAGGAACAGCGAACGAAGCGGCAATGATGAAGGATCTTCTCCATTCTTGGATTTCCTTCGTTTTGGACAACGATTGTAGCTGCGCGTTGGTGTCATCTGAGTCGACTATTAAGGCGTTGTAACCAGCAGCTTCGATCACTTCGACAACAGACCGTATTCCGATTATAGATGGATCGAAGACAATGACTATGTTAGAAGTAGCCATTTTTATTGATGCTGAATGAACACCATGTTGCTGTAATAGAGTGTCTTCCAATGCTGTGGCAGAAACGCCGTCCCGCAGCCCATGCAAGCTCAAATTGATCTGCTGCTTGCTTTTGGAAATTGACGCCTGCGCCTCTGATGACACGATCGACGCATCAAATCCGGAATCTTCAACAAGATCTACAATCTTGCTGGCAGGGAGTATGGTTGGATCGTGCACAACGACCGCCCGCTCAGCCAGAAGACTGATGTTGAACTGGATTACCCCATCCACACTGCCCAAAGCACTCTGGACACTAGACGTGCAAGCACCGCATGTCATGCCTCCGACTGCAACGGTGGTAACCAGAAGTCCCGGTTTCTCTTCTGAATCAGCCGATGCAGATGACTCCTTGAAGCCCACCAGGCAAGTGTCCAGCACTCGCGCTCCAAAGCCTCGATCTTCAATGAGCTCTGCTATATGCTCTGGTGTGATGATGTCGGCATCATGTTCCACGACTGCGCGCTCGGAAAGTAGTGATACGTCCACGGAGTTCACACCGCTGACATCGTTCAACCCGCTTTCCACTGCAGACGTGCATGCCCCACATGTCATACCCTCAACGGCCAGGTTGGTGACCGAGAGTCGCGTGGTCGGAAAAGAAGCAGAGTCAGGATTCCTTTGTGCCTCGGTCAAAAGTACTGTCGCATCGAACCCGCAGTCCTCAATCATCTCTGCAATTTTCGTAGGCGGTAACACTGACGGATCATGTTGTACAGCGGCCCTACCCATAATGAGACTAACGGAAACATCGTGTGCACCATTTACTCCTTGAAATGCGCCTTCCACTGCTGCTGTGCACGCTCCGCAAGTCATTCCGTCAATCTTGATAGTTGTGGTGGCCTGTGCGGCTCGACTAGCCCCGCCGGCGTGCGGATTCGTGGATAACATCTCGACGGTGAAGCGCGAGGCTGACACAGCGAGGAAAGACAGTACTATAGCATATGGAGAGTGTCTGACGAACTGCCTCCGACGCGATGGCGAAGGGTGATAGCGTGCTGAGGGGGTCGGATAGTCACGGATAGCGTAAGATTAGACAGATCATTCCCTTGTTGGGCAAACAAAGGGAGCTGCAGAATTTTAAATGAAGTAGTGTGCCCAGAAAGCCACGTCGGTCGAATTTAACCAAAAACTTGGCTCAAGTCGCAAGGGAAGGGAAAAAGTAAAGTGGATTTGCTCGGGGATAGGAATCGGTGATGTGGATCACATCTGCCACGCTATGGAATGTATAAAATCCGCAATGCAATATAGCGTGGGCAGCTGATTAGACGGGTTTCCAATTAATTTAGTGATTTAACAGGGATTTGACTTGATAGAAATTACGGGAAAGGTCTGAAACAGACTTAGCAATACGAAAACAAGTGGTTGTTTCAAAGATCTACGGAGATGAACCTTGTTAGTCTCGGCTTATTATCGCTGTAACTATTCGAGACCTTGCAGAATGGTGGGCCTCGCATTGTGACCACATTTAATAGACCTAATGCCCAGGTGGTTCAATAGATCCGACATACAGTAATCAATAGAATAGAAAGAAGATAGAATAGAATAAAATAAAAGCATGAGAGA